TTAATTGCTCAAACCTCGTTTTGTTCAATCAGTCAGGAATTTCCTGGGGGGTAAGAAAGTGAAATATTCAGTGAGACCCCGACATGCGGACGATTTGACTTGGGAACACTCGAAAAGATCTGCCCCGAGATCCGGACAATGGCTAGAGATAGACACACGTCGCCGACATTTTCCAGAAAAATCTTAAAAAAAAAAATTATTTCTTACATTTTGACTTATCACCGGAAACAATTTTGCTATGTTTATTCATAAATTGTGTTTATTCACAAACTACTGTATATTTATTCACAAACTGTGCTTATTCACAAATCATTTTTACTCACAATTCACAAACTATGATTATTCACAAACCATGTTTACTCACAAATTATGTTTACTATGTTAATGTTTATTCATAGCATATTTGTTCATGTAAATATATATTCACAATAATTGAAAATGCTTTTAATTATACTAAATTAACTCCAAGTTAATGATCAAAAACAGGCTAATTTTGTGCTTTTTTCAAAGTTTTTTTTTTTTTGAAGGGTACACAGCAAGACTTTTTCTTTCTTTTTGAACTCCTTTTGATGCCAAAATATCAGATCTGTGTGGTTTTATTCTGAACAGTTGTTTTCTGCATCTATAAGTTGAGGAAACGAATTGCGTTGAATTGTTATGGAGGTTTTATTCATAATTTTTGATGAACAGAAGAAATAATCGCATATGTTTGCATTGAAATCTACGGAAAAACGTGATCCAACATGCGGACGATCTGACATTGGGACAAGGTCCAAGCCCAAATGACGTCTGCTTCTCGGGGGGTCGCACTGTAAAATGAAAAGAATCCGAAGAAGTTGGTGAAAGACCCGGTTGTGGGTGCAGGGAATATGATTGCACGATGCGTGTAACTAAATCACTCTTCGTGTTGGGCCGCGGGTTTTGCGCAACGGGGCTCTCTCTCTCGCACAACCCGTTCCTATATCCATTGCTGGTTTCCCACTGGGTCCCCAGCATTTATTCGCCTTCGGCCTGCGAACCAGCATCACCAGTAGCGAAAATCTAGGATATTAATATCTCTTCATTCAAGCCTCTCGACCCGTTGGCGATCGCATGTTGGCTAGCGTTTCCGGTGGTCTGAACGATGAGAGGAAAATTCGAAACTACCTGTATATGCGGTACTGTAGTATCTCGTTATACAAAACGTTTCCGGGGGGGGAGGGGGGTTTCTCGATGAATTTATTTTAAATCAAGCTTCTCGAAGGAAACGGAAGCTCGACCAAGTGACTTCCGGAACACGGTTCCTGCGTTTCATCCATCACCGGCCAACCGCACGTCTTCGCGTAAATCTGTCTCAATAAGGGTACGATATTTTCTTCATGATGATTGAATATGATGGTTTTTTACTTGATCATATCTGAGGATTGGCTAACGTAGTTGTTGAGCTATGTTTCTATAGTTGAATTGAATCGATTTTTACTTGAGTTGAATATAAAATATCTTGTGAGAAGGATTATTTTAGTTAGATTGAGAATAACATGTTCGGTTGATAACTGTATTTAGGTTGAGTAAAATAGGTTTGGTTGAGTATAATGTGTTGGCTGCGTAAATTATGATATTTTGAGTCTAATGAGTAACTTTTTTTTAGTTCTAATTGCGTTTAGTAGTATCGTACAGTAATTACTTTAGTACCACGCGCACCTTCATTTCCAGAATTGAGGGGTAAAAAAGGGGTTAGTGTTGTAGGCGAGGATATAATTTCAATTAAATGTAAGAAATTTAGGCGCGAGTCACTCTTGAATTGAACGGAAACATTTTTGGGGAACTTTTTACAAGTCAAAACAATTTAGAATTTATTGGTTTCAGGTTGAATTCAGGTTCAAATTTGAATTCTGGTTTCTCTTCTTTGAAATGCTGTACAGTACAGTAGTTTTTCAGGCACTGAAAATGGGGCGTGTGTCTTCCTCTTGAATAAGAGATCATTAACATTTTAGGTATAAGATTTGGGTGCATGTCTTACATTGAAACCATTATTGCAATGCAAGCAGAATACGCTTTGTTTTAAATATTCCACGAGGCCATTGAGATATTTTTAAACTTTTAAATGTGCCCTTTTTAGGCAGTGGGGGAGGGGGAATTGAATGGAAAAGAAAACCTCCTGATGTTCAAAAAATGCCTCATTCTTTTGTCGGTCCCTGTAATTTATTTTGGTTCTTTCGTCATTTTACGCCCCTCATACTCATATCTTTATCTTTGTGTTCGTGTCATTCTGTAGGTTTTGCGGACTTTCTTTTCGATTGCCTGAGGTTTAGTAGGTTCTTTTTAATCGTGGTAGTGAGCAGACGGTATATCATTGATATCCCTTAGTATTCCAAAAGATGAGGTCAGGTGTTGAAGTAAAAAGAACCTACACTTTTTTTTTTCATTCAATTCCCCTGATGAAATATTTTCGAAAGGTCGTGAGTTCATGGCTCACTTCTTTCTTTGCTTGTTGACTGGCCCGAAGTATTTCAATCGTTTTGGTTAAGCTGCACTTTTTCCCATGAATGCTGCAGCAGATTTTTTGGGATTTGGGGACGACAATTTTTGCGATCAAAACTCTTTTTTTTTTCCCCAAGAGATCCCGTTGAAAGCAGACGTCGTGCTGCTTTTCGTCGCAGCAATAACTGGAAGGGCTCTGGAGCCTCGGCATGCTTTGTTGCGCAACGCGAGACTCTTGTTGTATCTTTGAAATTCCTACGCAGATGTACACGAGAGACTTTTTTGTTGTGTACGTATATACAGTATATATTATTTTTTTCTCTGAGCTCGTGCTTGTCTCCGTGACGGCAGAGGGAAACCCGGGTCGTGTCAGGTCCTGGTTGGTATGCACGGTCCGGCGCGACACGACTCTGCTTCTAAATTCGCCGCTGCGCGTGAATTATACTTGCTGTTGGAGAGGTTCTTTTTGGGTTCTTTTTTTTTTTCTTTTCTTCTTCCATCTCCTTCCAAAACTTTTTCCCTCTCGGGAAGGTTGTGGAAGGCTATGAAGAGTCGTGGTTGTTGGTTTTTTTTTCTTCTTTTTCATTCGGGGGTTGCCTTGAAAATTCTTCTCGAGGCGACAACAATTTTAATGCTAGCCGTAGTCGCGAAATTGATTGTTGCTCTCATGTTTGAGAAACCATTTTGACGACTTTGAGTTTTTTTATAGTAATCACGGAAGTATATGCTCGAAAGGTCAGCGATTCAAAGACACTCCGATTTTTTTTTTTTTTATTTACGGGTTGGAACTTATGGGGTTTTTTTTACGGGCTGAAAATATTTTGATCTTTGTTGTTGAAATACGCGAGTTGACCAATCGTATTGATTCAACGACATTTTCAATGAGTTACTATGGGTTTATGTGGCAGTATGTCCTTGAAATGTGACGAGGTTTTTGAGGAACGAAGGTATTCAGTGCACTTGTTACCACGTTGGGTTGAGTTTCAAAAATTTGAACTTTTGGCTGCCTCGAAAAACTTGTCGGAAACGGCAGCAATTGTGAGTCGAATTTTTATTCGATTCCTAGTCAAGAAATTGAAGGTCTTTCAAATCCATGGAAAACTCGGAATTATCATTATTATTTTTTTTTTACGCTCATCTCGTGATTGACTTATGTTTGTACGCGATTGCATCGAAAGCACACCCCTATTTTTCCGAGTTGAAAATGAAGAAAAATGTGTAAAACGTTTTTTGCGGACAGTTTTTAATCATTTACGGAGTATTTTACTTGTTGGAATTTGCCGCTGTTTTTGAGAGACAAAGTTGACGATTTTGTGAGTTGCGAGCTCGATTTTTTAAAACCGTTACCTACATCTTGATACCGTGGCAATTTTTCTGGTGACGAAATGTGGGTTACACGAGTTTCCTTTGCTTTGTCAATTGTTTGTTGCGAACAATTGACTAGAATACGAGTTGCAAAAAGCTACTCTTTATTTCATGCTTACAGTTCGAAAATCTTTTGAATTCAACCATATTTGCGGGAAGATTATCAGCGATTTTCATTAGTGCTTGCTGTTGATTATTTCTTGAAATTCAACGCTTGATTAATTTAAATTTTTTCGCCTTTTGTAACATTAGATGCTGGGGTGGTTTGATAATTTTATGTCTATTTCGAAACGAACGGAACCCAGCGATGGCAAGAAATTCCTCTCATGACTGCTTGAGATACACTTTTTTGCGGATGTCCGCAATTTATAATTTTTCTGCTGTTTATGTGGAATGCACAGAAGCCCATGAGACATGGTAATTGACTATGTTGGAAGCAGGTTCCTATAGTGAGTCAACATGGTGCTTTTTTTTTGCGGTCGATCGAAGGTGAGTGTGGACAGACTGTACAAGCATTAATTGGATTCAACTGCTTGTCAAGACTGTGATGGGATGGTAATTTTTGAATAAGGGGAGAAAGATATGATGACGAAATGTCCCCCGACGGTTTTATAATTGGACGCGGCGGTTGGCTTTAGAAACAACTCATTTTGTTCTCTCCGTTTTTCCACTCTTCCCTTTGGGGTATCGATGAATCAAGAATGAGCGACAAGGGATGCAGTTGCGATACTCACATAAAAGCACCAAGAAAAAAGTAATTTTAACCCCATCACCTTGAAGTTGATAAGGTGAAGATTTATTTCCTGCGTTTTTTGGTCGGAAGAAGCTTCGAGTTCATGATTGAGTCATTGGTATTGCTTACGAAACCCCGTGGACGTCGAAGGAACCGTTTCTTTTAGTTGACGACGTGACGTCGGCATCGTCAATAAACCATCTAAAGAGAAGGATTGATAAGGATAATTGAATCGTTTGTGCAGGACGAACTTCTTCTGGCAGCTGCAATGCGTCACTGTTGACCCCGTCTTTCGTTACATTTTTCATTTCTCCGATTTAATTTATTTTTTTCTCGATACAAATTACGTATTGGCTCGCGGAAATGCGTCTCGCTTCTCGTCATTTTTTTGTTTTCTTTCGTATTTTGGCTCGTGTAGCGTGATTGTAATTAATTATTTGCCCTTGGTTGCAGCCGATGGGTATATTGGCCCTGTTGGACGAAGAATGCTGGTTCCCCAAGGCAACGGATAAAAGCTTCGTAGAGAAGCTGATGGCGTCACATTCGTTGCATCCCAAATTCGTTAAGACCGACTTCCGAGGCGCAGGGGATTTTGCCATTGTTCACTATGCAGGACAGGTTCGTAATAATTTCCTTTTTCATTCATTGTGTGTGATATTCCAATGCCCGAAATTGAATACTGTTGTTTGTTCGAAAGGTTAGCCTGTTTTGCATTGATTTTCATCAGGACGGGATCATTTCAAGGTTAAAATTGCTTCGGTTATGTGATGCTGTGTTTGATATTCTCTGGCTTACGTTCAAAATTTTACTTAAAAGCTGAAACTTGAAGAAAAAATTGAGAGGTGAAAATTCTTCCCATCCAAATTGTGGAACTGAGGTTCAGCTTGTGCCATGCTTTAATTTAAATGATGAGCGTGAAGTAGTTGAAGGTTATCGTATTGGAGACCTGAGCTAACGATTGAGAAGGAATAAAAATGTATATCCTGGCAGTTTTTTGTGTTGTTTATGCTCAGTTTGTGTTTTGTCCTGAAATGGTCGTTCAACGCCTTAAAGTTGCACAAGTCCAGTCTACATCCAAGTTTACTTCATTGCTTCGGATTGATTTTTCCGTCCAAGAGATCGAGTATCCCAAGCACTTACTATTAAAGCTGGAATTTCATTTTATTTGTTGCTGCTTCAAAAGCTGTGCGAATGCAATGGAAAAATTAAAGAAAAAATACAACTGCCAAGTAACGTTTGTTAATGAGTCCAGACAGTGCAAGCCTTTCTCTTAGATTCGAGAAACCTCATCATATTATCTCGGAAGTCATGGCAAAACTTTCAAATTAGACCTTGTACCAGTCTCTTAGTCGTAATTGAAATTTGGAACATGCACAGTTTGAGTCCTTGATGAAGCTGATGGATTTTGTTGCCTATTTGAAATGGTGCGTGTGTGTGTTTATTAGTTCACGAAAAAATAACTCTTGTCCTTTTTTCTCTCTTCAGGTGGACTACTCAGCACAACAGTGGCTGATGAAGAATATGGATCCGTTAAACGAGAACGTGGTCTCTTTGTTGCAAGCATCTCAGGAACCATTCATGGTCCAAATTTGGAAAGATGGTACGTTTTCTTGAAGCAAAGCTTTTTTGAAATGTGAATGAGAATATTTTCTAAATGAAATTACAGCGGAAATCGTTGGTATGGGAAGCATGGTATCGACTGATACGCAATTCGGATCTCGCACGAGGAAAGGTATGTTCCGAACGGTGTCGCAGTTGTACAAGGAACAACTCACAAAGCTGATGGTGAGATTTTTATCTTGACTTCAATTGTCGCTGACGAGATTTTTTTTTTGCAACAGTGCTTAAATTTGATTGTTCTTACGGAAACTCGAAAATAATTACAGAAGACGAAAATACGTCCTGTTGATTTTTGCGTGATGCAATTCTTGTGTGTACAGCTTCATCTTTGGCGAGGAATACGTCAGTGCCGAAGACATATTTGGTCTTGTATTCATAATTTGTGTTGGTGTGATTTCAGAGTACCTTGAGAAATACGAATCCGAATTTTGTTCGCTGTATCATTCCGAATCACGAAAAACGAGCTGGGAAAATCGACCCACTCTTGGTCCTGGATCAATTGAGGTGCAACGGTGTGCTCGAGGGCATTCGTATTTGCCGACAAGGTTTTCCCAATCGTATTCCTTTCCAGGAGTTCCGACAGAGGTACGTGAAGCCTTTCTTCCAACTGTTGAAAAAAAAAAAAAAAAACATTGTACGCATTCACTGATCGTATAAACTCAGCAGTGTAAACAAGGATTTTTTTTTTTTTATAATCGTATTGCAAAATTACTCTTGAATTGCTTGAAAAGTGCATCTGAAAGTTTCTAACATCAAACGCAGTGTATTTCATCGAGTTGACCTGCAAGAAAAGAATGAAATTCATTAGCTCCGGGCTCATTGATGTTGCATTTACCTACAGGTATGAACTGTTGACACCGAACTGCATACCTAAAGGCTTCATGGATGGCAAAAAGGCGTGCGAGAAAATGGTGAGTGTCCACCTTAGAATTTCACTCCCAATTCCGGTTTTCATCTGCTGTTTGACTTCCAAATTGTGCAGATCAACAGCCTCGAGCTTGATCAAAATTTGTTTCGAATTGGACAAAGCAAAATATTTTTCCGCGCCGGTGTATTGGCTCATTTGGAAGAAGAGCGCGACTTCAAGATCACTGACCTGATCGTGAATTTCCAGTCGTATTGCCGCGGTCTATTGGCAAGAAGGTTCGTATATCTTCTTTATTTGTTCGATCTCTTTTTCGTACTGAATTATATTTCGAAATACAGTACTGTATCTCGTTTATATGGGTAAAATACTGTACCTGCATTCCTTATAAATACAGTATTTACTCGAGTGATAGCGACATTTTTTTTTTCGAGTGGGAAAAAAAGAGGATGCGCGTCAGATGCTGGCATAAAAATCCTATTTAAAAGTTCAGTGCTCATGATACTTGATCCTTACCAAAAAGGCTCAAGAAGTTCTTAAAAGGAATTATTTTCAATGGAAAATTATTCAATTCGGGTGGACTTCGAGTCAAAATTTTTATTTTGCTGCTTTTTATTTTCGAAGATTTACCTTCGTTTAGTCTCTAAACATGGGGTGCGCGTCATCATACTGAGGAATGAAAATTTAATCAAATTTTTTAAGACCAGAAAACCAGGTGCGCGTCTTACTGGAGGGTTCGTAGTACAATACTCGAGTATAGACGATATTCACATCGTCAATGATATACAATACAGTACTGTTATCATTTTTTGAAATACGAGATTTCCCGAGAACTAAGCTCGTATTTTCTTTGACAGAAACTACCAAAAACGCATGCAGCAGTTGAATGCGATGAGAATCATTCAGCGAAACTGCTCGGCATACCTCAAATTGCGGAATTGGCAATGGTGGCGCTTGTACACCAAAGTGAAGCCTTTGTTGCAAGTGACGAAGCAGGAAGAAAAGTTGACTCAAAAGGAAGACGAATTGCGCGCCATCAAAGACAAGTTGGAGGCACAAAACAGAACCTCTGCCGAAATAGAAAAGAAATACGAACAGGTGGGCATAATTTACTTCCGGTCAACTCGAATCATGAAAAGCCTAATGTTTAACTGTAGAGAGAAAAAGAAAAAACAAGCTGCAACTGGACTATTCAGCATGCGGTTTTTTATGTTATTTTTTTATTATTACCGTATATTCGATGCTGTCTTATTTTTGGGGTGTCTTAAATTAGCGGTGAAGGATATTGATAATTCTGATCTACCTTATCCTTAGAATAAGAATTGAGTAAAAAATTCTATGGGAAAAATCCTCACGCAATTTGCAGTTTTCGCGTGATGAAGTTAATACAGTATCATGATATCTAATAAATGTTCGATGACGTTAGGTCCGAAGTATTTGTGTACTCATTTGATTCTGAGGGATTGAAAGATGGATAGAAGTACAGTAGTTCGTCATGCATTCGAAAGTGCAATCGTATTCAGTTTTTAGGTGTTCCGTGTGATCGATGGCTTCTCACTTTCAATCAAATTCTCTCAAGCGAATACGCTAGTACCTTCCATTTTAATTCATATTTTCTCGTCTAACTCGCAACGTTCGTGGGGTTTTTCGCGATTCACACTTGAAAAAAAAACTTCAAATTTTACAGATTATAGAAGAGAAGAACATCCTCGCCGAGCAATTGCAGGCAGAAACCGAGCTGTGCGCAGAAGCTGAAGAAATGCGTGCGAGGCTTCAGTCTCGTAAACAGGAACTGGAGGATATTCTACATGACCTGGAGGCAAGGGTTGAAGAAGAGGAGGATCGTGCGAATCAACTGCAGGTAGAGAAGAAGAAACTTCAGTCACACATCCAGGACTTGGAAGAGCAACTGGAAGAAGAAGAGGCCAATCGTCAGAAACTCCAGCTTGAGAAGGTCCAAGTTGAGTCAAAAATCAAGAAGTTGGAAGAGGATCTCAGCATTGCGGAAGATTCGAACCAAAAGGTAATTCCTCTTCCCATGCTATTCCTGAAAAGAAAATTCTTCTAGAAATGAATTCGGTTTGCTTAAACCCTCTGGTTTCCCCAATTTTCTTTGCTTATGCAACTTTAATAATATGAATCATACTTTTTTTTTCTTCAACAGTTGTCGAAGGAAAAGAAAATGCTGGAAGAGCGTGCGAACGACTTGTCTCAGGCACTTGCTGAAGAGGAAGAAAAGTCCAAGCACCTTGGCAAACTCCGTGCTAAACAAGAAGCTTCGATTGCCGACTTGGAAGAGCGTTTAATCAAAGAGAACCAGGCTCGTCAAGAAATGGAGCGTGCCAAGCGCAAAGCTGACAGCGAATTGAATGATGTCAAAGAGCAGCTTAATGAACGCAAAGTGCAAATTGAAGAAATCCAATTGCAGCTCGCCAAACGCGAAGAAGAGCTCACGCAGGCCATGATGAAAGTGGATGAAGAAGCCGCGCAAAAGTCGCAAAACTCAAAAGTAGTCCGCGAACTCGAGGCGCATCTTGCTGAGCTTCAGGAGGACTTGGAGGCTGAGAAGAGTGCGAGAGCAAAGGCAGAAAAGCAAAAGCGTGATTTGAATGAGGAATTGGAGGCTTTGAAGAATGAGCTTCTAGATTCGTTGGATTCGACTGCTGCTCAGCAAGAGTTGCGGACAAAGAGGGAACAGGAACTCGCCGCACTCAAACGTAGTCTTGAGGAAGAAATGGTGAACCATGAGCAAACTATTGCTGACTTGCGCCACAAACATGGTCAGGGGCTCGAAGAACTCAATGATCAACTGGACACTGCCAAGAAAACAAAGGCTGCCTTGGAGAAGGCTAAGCAGAACCTGGAAGCAGAAGTAGCTGACATGGCTAATGAAATCAAGATGTTATCAGCAGCCCGTCAGGATACTGACCGTAAACGAAAAACTGTCGAAGCACAGTTGGCAGAAGCTGAAAGTCGATTGGCAGTAAGTGTCATGCATTCCATCAACTTGTCGGATTTTCATTCTACCACTCCTTTTGGTGAAAAATTAAACGAAATGTTTATCTTTTTTTTCTTTCAGGAAATGGAACATTATCGCGGGGGAGAGGTGGAGAAAATGCAAAAAATGGCGGCTGAACTTGAAAGTTTACAAGCACAACTTTCTGAGGCAGAGTCACGTGCAATCAACGCCAGCAAAAATTTGTCAACTGCCGAAAGCCAACTGGCTGAGGCTCAGGTAATTTGCTTAATTTGCCTTGCGGAATTCGGCATCGTTTACTGGAATTTGTTGTGATGATACATGTTTGACGGACCACTTCAATTGCGATGAACAGTATCCGGTCGTCTTCTTGTTTGTATATTTCGCGTCGTTTAATGGCCTGTTACGCTCTTTTCTTTTCTGAAGAAGTGCGATTTATACTAAGAGAACCATACTCAAAAACTCGAAGGTCTTCGCTATTTCGAAGACGTTTGTTCAACTTTCAATGTACGGCAGGTAATTTTTGATGGAACATTCGATTAGGCGGACAGACTAAGAAGAATTTGTTCGATTTTGGTGTCATTTTTTGTAATCTTTCAAGCATACACGAATTTCTGACGACTGTGTGTATGTCGACGTATTGCTTTCTAAGTTGCTTCTTCCTTCTGCAGTCGTTGTTAGATGAAGAAACGCGCCAAAAAATGGCACTGAAGACCGACCTGCGTCAAGCAGAAACCATTCGCGAGCAACTAAAGGAACAACTTGAAGAGGAAGATGAGGCGAGGCGTGCCTTGGAGAAACAAGTGAGTTTCCATATTGATAGAAATGAAACTTATTCATGAACATTTCTCATCATCCTAGGTGGCAGCTCTTTTGGTGCAATCTTCGGAAGCCAAAAAGAAAGCAGACGAGGAGGCAGCTAATTCGGCAGCTCTCGATGAGCTGAAAAAGAAACTCATCAAGGTAAAGGCATCCTCATCTAAACGCCATTGATCGTTTATATCATCATTACTGAATTTCAGTCATCAAGAAACGTACTTTTTCCATTTTTCCTTCTTATTGAAGCATTTTGAGGAGCTCTAGGAGATCCAGTGTTCCTCCGTTTATTTATATTGTTTTTCACTTCAGGAAATTGAGGCCTTGCAACTATCTCGGGATGAACTTCAATCAGCAAATGAAAAGCTTGAAAAGAGTCGCAAGAAGATTCAGGCTGAGTTGGAAGATGCCAACATTGATTTAGAAGTTCAGCGTGGCAAGGTGTGTCTTCATTGCTGTACTTTTTATTTGAATATTTTTTCGTATTGAAATTTGCTCTTGAAGGATGAGTTTCCTTCAATGAGTTTCATGTGCATGCATTTTTAAAACACGCGATCTCTAACATCTATTCACAGGTTGCTGAACTCGAAAAGAAGCAACGTAACTTTGACAAAATCTTGGCTGAGGAAAAGGCCATTTCGTCGCGTATCAGCGAAGAGCGTGATAATGCCGAGAGAGAAGCTCGAGAGAAAGAGACGAAGCTTCTCAGTATGACCCGAGCTCTGGAAGATGCCCTTGCCCAAAACGAAGACCTGGAACGTCAAAAGAAACAACTTCAGGTACGCCTAAATTATTTTCAAGAAAACAACATCGTGCGTTTGATGTCTGAAAAAATTATCCTTCGGTGAATGAGATTTGCAGCTAGTGCTGCGGAGGAAAAATGTCTGAGAAAAATACTAAAGAAAAATAATACGGTTTGGAATGGCGCCGCTCATCTTTTTTCGCGGCGTGTTTCCGAAATGTCCAGCATCCATAATGAAAATTCCTTCCTTTGACTGTACGGAAATAGCTAATTGTAACCGCTGCGTTCACAGGCTGAACTGGAAGATGTTGTCAGCTCTCAAGGAACTGCTGACCGCAATGCTGTGGAGCTTGAACGTGCCAAACGCACTTTGGAAACGCAGCTTGCTGACCAGAAAACTCAATACGAGGAGCTCGAAGATGAGTTTCAGTTGATGGAAGACGCCAAGCTGCGTTTGGAAGTAAACATGCAGGCCCTGAAGCAACAAATGGAACGAGACCTCCAGGCCAAGGAGGAGCTGGCTGAAGAACAGCGTCGGAGCCTGCAGAAGCAGCTCCGTGACATGGAAGTGGAATTGGAAGATGAAAGAAAGCAACGAGCTGCTGCGATCAATTCCCGCAAGAAAATGGAAGCCGACTACAAAGATTTGGAGCAGCAAGTTGAGATGAGCAACAAGCTCAAAGAAGACGCATTGAAGCAGTTCAAGAAGGTGCAATCGCAGGTGAAGGATTACCAGCGAGATGCAGATGAAGCACGTGCTGCGCGAGATGAGTTGTTGCTGCAGCTCAAGGAAGCGGAAAAGAAGATGAAGAACTTCGAGGCAGATGTTTTTCAGGTACTTTTTAAAGAACTTTAATACTGTATCTGAAGTCCAATGCCGCATATTTCCCTGTCTCTCTGTGTATATGTGTCCCTACAGGTGACATATGGTATTTTATGGCAAAAGCACATTCAAACTTTAATGATATAACGCAGTGTATCGTTAAATTTTGTAGGCTCAAGAAGATTTGGGTGCTGCTGAAAGAGCTCGACGGGCTGCCGAAACTGAACGAGATGAATTGGCTGAGGAGATTAACAATCACTCTTCACGCGGCACTTTACTGGCGGACGAGAAACGCAGATTGGAAGCCAGGATTCAAGCTTTGGAAGAAGAGCTAGAAGAGGAACAAAATACGCTTGAAGCCATGGCTGAACGTTCTCGCAAAGCACAATTGCAAATTGAGCAACTTGGAACAGGTCTGTTGAGTTTTCATTTTCTCCGGTAATTTTTCTGGCTGCAGATTCTTTTCCAAAGAAGGCAGAACGCGACTGCTGTTTCGATTTTTCTGCAAAGTTTACTTCAATGCCCGGTATCGTCGAATCTTTGGAAAATTTGGCGATTGGAAAGAACCGATTGTTCGAAAAGATATTTCAAGCGGGTCATTCTCTTGGCGACTAGTAGTCATCTTTTTAATTATATGGGATTATTAGGCGAATTGAGGTTTAATATTGCATGATTAAATTCCGGAATTGGGCTTTTCAAAGTATCCTTGAGCCCAAAAATTCTTTGTAAAAATATTGAATATGGGCGGATTATGAAGATTAGTTTCCTTAATTGAATTTTTAAATTTTACTTCCTGAACTTCAGATTTGGCTGCTGAGAAAGGATTGACGAACAAGACCGAAAATCAACGCGTGTTCCTCGAGCGCCAAAATAAGGAGTTGAAGGCAAAAATTGCAGAACTGGAGACCTCGCAACGAGCCAAATCAAAGGCAACTATTGCTGCCTTGGAGTCCAAGATTGCCAATTTTGAAGAGCAGTTGGAAGCAGAAGCCAAGGAGCGACAGGCGGCCATGAAAATGAATCGAAAGTTGGAGAAGAAAGTCAAAGAACTTTCCTTGCAGCTTGAAGACGAGAAGCGACACGCTGATCAGTACAAGGAACAGAATGAAAAGGTTTGAATCCGTGCTTTAGTTTCAGGTTCTTCTTCTTCTTTTTGAGAACTGATCATGTTCTTTAGGAGAAGAAATATGTTGCATCAGGTCTTATATTAGAGATTATGTTTTGAGGAGTGGACTGAAAGATCCTATTCCGCGGTATTATTCGTGAAATTTCCTCGAATGCAAAGGCTATGAAGATAAAATCTGGAATTTTTCGTTTTTTCAGTTCATGTGCTGTGTGCTCATCAGCCCAAATTTCTCGTGTACCGAATTGAATTTTGATTCGAGCGCCCCCGGTTTGAAATTTACGTAATTTATCTTGAAAAGTATTTTCGATGGACTCATGAAAAGGGCTCACATTGCTAGATGTGTGAATATGTATTCAGAGCTATTTTATGTATAGATGATATTATCTGGATGTACATTAAGAGATTTGTGCCGGAACTGAGCTCTGATTTATTCTCCCGTGAAAGCTCAGTCGAAATTTTTAATTTTCATGTATCCAAGGGAACTCTATCGGTAGTTGTGACTTTCCGGCATGTTCCAAAATGTACTCATAATCAGAACTGTAAACGTTGGAGACAAGTTCTAGCTTTCCCATTTGAAGAGCAAGTTGATTTTCGGGTTTTTTATATTGTTTACTTTCGATGGAAGTATAATTCCTGTGTTATGTTTTTCTCAAACTGCAGACTTCAACTCGAATCAAGGCGCTCAAACGCCAACTGGACGAAGCCGAGGAGGAAATCACTCGCGAAAAGTCGCAAAGGCGCAAGGCCCAGCGGGAACTGGAAGATGCCTTGGAAGTTCAAGAGGACCAGTCTCGTGAGCTTGCCTCTCTCCGTAACCGTTTGAGGTAAGTATTCTTCAATTATTCCTGACGAAGCGGTTAATCGAGTCCTCGCACCTGAAAAAAAAGCCGGTGATTGGTGGGAAATTGATTTAGCTACCAAATCTTCATATTTCACAAACTTGGTGATCGGTTAGTTAGTTGGAGTTGCTATAGCCACTACGGTTCTTCCTTTCCTTTCCCGTCAGCTGTGATGCGCAATTGAAAGAACTGGAGGAACTAAAGAAAGCCATGAGGAAGGATTGTAAAGATGCCAGGTATTCAATCTGCACAGAATTGCATGTAATGAAGTGTTGAACACGATGATCATATATTAGCAGAACACGGATCAATCCGATGTATTCCGTGGTAGATTTAGTTGCTGAAATGTTCTGATTGAGAATCGCATGCGATTTCTGATAGAAGATCCATTTTTGCATTGCAATCTTTGAATCGACAAATAGCGATAAATTCGGATCCGACCCGATCGTCGCTTTTTTTTTTATCCTTGTCGTTTGCAGTGGTGATTGTTGGACGGTTCGAGTTTTTGAGCTACTTTATTTGATTTCAGTTTGCTTTAATTTGAGGTTATGAGCGTTTTTCGTTTTGTTGCATTTAGCGGCAATTCCTGTGCGAATGCGATTAGAAGAAGGAGGGATTCTGTGGAAGTGGAGAAGTGATGATGTGCGCAAACGCACCGAGTTCAGCGCGTTTTCTCGTTTAAGCTTTTAGATGGTTCATACTTACTACAGAGGATTATGTTTTGTTGGATTTTTGGCGGCCGTATTCCATCTTCGGTATATAGAGGTAAATAAGCCAATAGATGTTTTCTTGTATGGCTCTCGTGGATTTTCGGTGTTCACTTCATGTCAGTGGTTTTTTTCTTCCACGTTTGGCGATGGCTGTACTGTACTAGAGAATTTTTGGGTCAGCTTCGCACACATTTTGCTTTGTCGATGTGTCATGTCATGTGCAATGAACGATGTGTTCATTTTTTTTTTTTTTTTGCTCATAGCTGTCGTGGAAACTGTTTTGTTAGGTATTGGGGATACTTGGAATCTGTTGCATCCCACGGGGAACGACGTTATATTCCGAAAGACAATGTGAAGTGCTGTCTACTCTCATGATCAAAGATCCTCCACACATGGGGTGCTTTACGCCAGCTCAATTTGACTTATATAAAATAAAATAAAAATAATAGCAAAAACAAAAAGAGGCCAATGTTGTCCGGAAAGGGAAAGCAGGAGTCGTGGATTTCACGTTAAATTGACGGTGTATCTTCATTGAGCAGTGATTTTCTTCAAAAAGCCGTAGGAGTGCGAAGGAATCGATGACGACGATATTCGCGAAACGCGCTTCCATTCTCGATGACTTTTCGGAAGTTTCCGTGGCGCCTAGTGTCGCGCCGACCCGTTCGGCGCCAAATATGTACATGGACTTCAGTTCTGACGCGTCTACGATGAGGATGACGAGTGCGTCTGTCTTGAACGTGGATGACGAGAATTCTGCCCGCTTGGTGTCGTCGCGAGACGCGAGTGAAAGTCCGTGCGTAATTTTTTGAATGATCATCTTTTTATGAAGCAGAATCCATCATGGTCCTTGATTTTTAGACGACTCAGTGTAGCAAAAATTGTAATAGTACTGTATACGATTTCCGCAAATTTAGCTTATCGCGGAAAACCCAGTATTGTGGGTATGTCTCGAATCAGGCATGCAACTTAAATGTCACTCTAATGCCCGACTGTCCACAATAATTTTCTAGGGGTCCTCCCGAAACCCGATCGGTGGTTCCGTGCGATGGTAACATTTTAATGGTGCACAATAGTAACCGAGGAGAAGATGCATTGTCGAATGATCCCGTGGAAACTTGAAAGGATTATTAGCAGGAACACGTACTTTCGCTAAAAAAATAAACAAGAACGAGACGTTTATTGTCGAAAATTGAATTCCTGAACACCCGTTGTTTCCTGTGATGCGGCTTGAATTATTTATTCGGAAGCTTCAGCCAGATAATTTTCGGGATGTGTTCCCGCGTATTTTCCCTGTTTTCGTCCTGGTATGTCTCAGGAGAGGTACTATTTTTCATGTCCTTCCAATTTTTTTTGTGTCACGGTATTTACGGTCGTGTTTTCCTTTGGGTCGTCTAAAAATCAAGAACTTTCTTCTGGCTGAAATGTTATGCACGGTGTTGATGACTGCCGTATTTCGTTCAGGTCGATTCGAAAGATGCGGGAAAGATTTCATTCTTCGTGAAACCCCGTCAGTGGATCGCCGCGGATCGTTTTCAATATTTCAAGTGCGAATGACAGTGATTCCCATCATTGAATTTTCTCTCGTGATACTCGAGCTTTCAAGTATAGAAATGATGTTCTTGAGTGCTGAATGAACAATTACGGAACTGATAACACGCTATGTTTTTAGGCAGCTCGCTATTGATGTATCACCCCCCCTCAAGCCGTGTTAAATCTTGATATCTTGATTGTAAAAATGAGCTAATTTCCGAATCGCCCGTTGGTACAGTAGCGATTACGCTAACAAATTTATAATATCGCTCTTCTCTGCATGGGTACCGGCTTGGCAGTGGGAAATGAGCTGGATGCTGCATTTGGATGGGAGTGGTTTTTCTCCGTTTGTAGCATGGTTGGTGAGCTTGAGTTTTAGATGGAGTTTGACTTGGATTGTCTGAGAAGCTTGAAATCGAATTTTAAATTTAATGAGGATGTGCCGAGAGGTAAATGATGAATGTTTCAATGCATGTTGCAACTTCGTGTCAAGATTGATGAGCCTTTTTCTCGATATTGCTATTGGGATGTGCAATTCACTGTTGAATATCTGCGAAGAAAAGTTCTTTGCAACTCCCGCTTTCAGTGTAATACAGTTCTCGGAGACGTTCAATCTGCGGCTATTTCGTTTTCAGCGACCTAATATGTCTTCAAGCTTCTCAGTTCAGCATTTTTTTGTATTTTGAAGTATTGTGGAGCATTTTGGACTGATGTGGTTTGACGTTATTGGAGAAAGATGTAGCATGTATGATGAGCGATTTGAAATTTAATTCCGTATTCGTTTCTTTTTTCTGTTCAAAAAGACGAGGCGGAGCGAGTTTAAGCGGAAGGGCAGTGGGTGGGAAACGCGGTTCGATCCCACCAGGCGTGGACGATACGAACGCGTCGATCGCGACAACGAACCAGGATGACTCCGTCGACGGCGAGGAAGAGAAGTGAGCGATGCAGCGACCGTCGCCGACGAGGGACTTCGATACCAACAGCAAAGCAACGACACACTCTGTCCTCCGTATCCCCGAATTTTCCGCTCCTGTCGGTTCCTTTCGTTTGTGTTCAAGTGGATTGAGTGAGGGCTTGCATTTGAACCCTGTCCGCTTGTGGCTGCAGTCTCCTTCCAGTTATTGCTTGAGGCACACTGACAGTTGTTTGCGTTCTGAGACAGTGCGCTTTCCTCTTCCGTCCTCAGCTACGTTGTCCAGCAGATTCTGAGACTTTCCATGCGTGAGGGAATCGTTTCATTGAGTGACTCCAATCGGAAATCACGAGAACGGACAGGCGATGTTTTAGTTTTTTTGTGGAAATATTCCAGCTGAGTGGAATGAGTGTACTGTCGAGGAAGCAACAGTGTGTTTCCTTTTCCGAATGAAACCCTGTTTTTGATTTGATTTTTTTTTCAAGGAGGTTGTAAAGTGTAGTAGTTGGGAGTTCGCCTTACCGAGTGCCAGAGAAGGAACAAGCGAGCATTTTTTAATCTCATTGAAAGCGCAGAAACTTCGGGGGTGTTATTTCATTCAGCCGAGTATCATTCCTCCTCCGTCCGCCATTTTTTTTAGCGCGTTCGATAATTTATTCTCGTGAAGTTTTAATCCAGTCTTTGGGGGCGAAAGCTGCGTACTTTAATGTGAGTTTGTTTTTCACTAATGAGAACATTCCCTGTTTTGAAGCGACTGGTTGAAGTTCAGTGTCCCGTGTTTTTATTTTATACTCGAAGCTTGCAGGTTAATATTACATTTTTAAAATTGTGAATTTTAAGAGCTTTGTTTTCGTGGGCTCAAAAATTTTCGTCCGAAACGCTGTCCTCCGTTGTGTCTTATTTTGCAAGAGAGGCACTGTGCGTATATTCATTTGCTTCTGCGTTTGGCGTGCCTTGGAAGCGGTTCTTGCCGTTTTGTTTTCCTCAAGAACTTCCTAAGAAAAAAAGAAGAATCGAGAGAAATTTGCCTTCCAACTTATGATCTTCTGCTGCGATCGATCATGTATTTTTTCATGTTTCAATTTGTGCCGGGGGTGAGCTGAGTTGAGCCGAGCGGAAGGTGGAACATTCGCATCGCTGGAAGTGAGGTGGTCGAGCTCGATAGACGTTTGAGAGAAACAGGGTACATTTTGTGAGCAATCGTGCCTCTTTCTTTCAGTCGAACTAATTTTTATACGCACATTGGAATAGCGCTGTAATTAATTTTTTTCACTCCATAGGGTCGTCAGCTACTTGAGATAATCCTTTTTAGTTATGTAGTTGACTCTTGGAGAATGCGATTCATTTATGCTGATATTGTTTAGTCATCGTGAACAGATGTTGGACCCTCTCTGCACCCGTTTGTGCATTTTGCACCGATTGATTGCGAGTGGGATGTTCTTTTATTTTTTTTCTAATGCCCTTGGGTCTTCGAAGGCATGTGTCTTTCTGTTTGTTTTTATCTGAGAAGTTGTTTTGGAAATGTTTCCGAGCAGATCGCGATGTTGATGACGCTCTGTTCGTTTCCAATGGGTTAAGAATTTGTAAAATGTTTCCGTGTTGGTTGTTCTTGGCCTTTAAGCATGCTCTTCGGTACGGTTTCCGTGTCTTGGTTTCTCTTGAGTGTGAATGATTATGGTTGGGTTTGTTCTCTTTGAAGCACTGTGTGAAGTGAGAAGGTTCCAGCATTGCGTGGATCCGATTGAAGTATTCCGTCGAAGTTTAAAAAAACGGTTTGTTTTGTGAAAAAGTTTGATGAGCGTGGAGTTCATCCTCAAGAGTGAGAGTGAATCACGAGCGTGAGACGTTGAAGTGAGAAAGTTGAAGTTTTGTGATAGCGTTTGTTCAGTGTGTTTGGTTTTTTTTTGCATGTGAAGAATGTAGTATCGAATATCTTTTCGTTTGAAAATTTTTGGTAGCTGATGAAACAACTAAATATTTCTGTTGTTACGAAATTCATCTTCCATCTGTCAGTGTTGACCCCGTCGTTCAGGTACCATTTGCATGCAACAGGCACTGTTTGTCACTCCGTCAGATGTTCCGTGTTTCTTCAAAAATTCTTCTTTTCTCAATTGAATCTACTGACTAAACCGGAAGGCTGCCTCGATACCTAATTTCGCCGACCATACTTGTGCTATATGCCTATTTTTCAGTTAACGAATGCAAAGCCAGCGATAAATTTAGAAACATTCAGCTGAAAGCTTCTGAAAAAGAGACAGACTTTTAGTTGCCGATGTATCAGGATATCATAATTCCTGTGGTTAATTTCTCTATGTACAGTACTCCCTTCGGTATGTTCAAGGAATGCGGGAATGCCGCGAATTTCAGTGCTGTTTTGATAAGGTCAGACTTTGGGGCATTGTTTGGAAAGTTTCACCGTGTTAAAGTCAGTCAGTTCGTTGGGAACCAATTGATGCTTTGTCGTGTAGCTTGAGTTATGAACAGCACAGCATAAAATCAATTTTAAACTAAAGAAAAAATGTCAAGAAATGTGACTTTTGGAATTTAAAAAGCCATTTGATGCCGATTGCAGCGTTCAATCTGTTTCATTACTTCTGTTTAGTTTGATGCTAAATTTTCAGTGTTGGTTATTTTCGATCATTTCCCAGATACGATGCGTCTCGCAACTTCGTTCAAAACTTCACGTTACTATGTGGAAACTTGAAAAACCGCATTTCGTACATACCTCGTAACTAGTTTTTGTGTATACAGTATATTGTATACTTTTTCGGTATATTTTATACTGTTTCGTACTAGTTTGGAACGAAATCCCATGATGTGGTCACATTTAACGAGTTTTCCGATAAAGCCAAAATTCTTTGACTGGGAGAAACACGTGGGAACTTGCCACACGATTTTCAAAATCTGCCTTTACGAAATCGTATCGATGAAATCCGTGGAACTGCTATCGCCGTATTGTTTGACCATACCTCATGTTGAATATGAGGAATTTTTGTTGTTTTTTCTAAATGAACTAAACTAAAATTGAGCGTCCGAACGGAGTGGTAGAACTCGATGCTGCTGTTGGTACCTTAGCAATCGGAGTGGTGTCTTGCTGCATGTTTTCGATGAAACTTTCGAGGCTGTTGTGTGCTACATTTTCTTGTGGTTTCTATCAATTGGAGACGCCAGGAGTAATGTTTTCGGAAGACTGACGAATGCGTGGCGTCTCAGCGGTGGGGAGTCGTTGGTAGGCGGTGCGCGCGAGGTTTGTCGGCGTCGGTTGTCAGTGGGTCAGCGTCGTTTTTCAACATGACCATGGGCGAAGATCACCAATTGGACGCGGCGGATTTGAAGTATTTGGTGGTGGACAAGAATCGGTTCACGGATCCGGTGGCGCAGGCGGAATGGACGAAGAAGCGGCTCGTGTGGGTGCCCCACGACACGAATGCGTTCGTGGCGGCGGGCATCAAGGCCGAAAGGGCGGACGAGGTGGAAGTTGAGATCGTCGACACCAACAAACGCGTCGTTGTGAGCAAGGATGAGGTGCAGAAGATGAACCCGCCCAAGTTTGACAAGGTTGAGGACATGGCTGCTCTCACGTGCCTCAACGAAGCCTCCGTTTTGCACAACATCAAGGATCGGTATTATTCCGGACTCATCTATGTAAGTGCTGGTCTTTCTGATCCTAGAATCGGGTTGTCTAATGCTTTCTGACCTCTTCAAGTCGAACTTCAGGAGACCAGCAAACAAATTCGAGTTAGGCACGTTTCGAGGGAAGCAAGTACATTATATTTGTTGAGAGAGAGGAAGAATACTTAAGCGAAATTGTACTTGGTGATATTTTGGGCCTCAAAATGCCTGTTGAATGATTCAACATGAGGGTGCATGTGGAGGCAAGGGTTTATCTGTTCAATTAGTTGTTTACTTCCTTTCGCAACGCATCACATTTTTATTGCTTAAATCTTTCTTGTGTCAATAAAATTATTTTCAAAAAGCCTCTAGAAAATTCGAGTTATGGATCTTCGAGGGGGAAAGCCTCCGCGTTAGGGAGGTTTTTATAACTTTTTAATGTATTTATTTTAAGGGAATTCAGACGAGGGCTTTAAGAAATTTAGCATATGAAGGTATTCGACGTAGAGATATTCGTGTGAACGACGTTCAACGGAACCGTATTTAGGCGAATATAAGAAATCCCATGGATTTCCCATGCAAAAAGAAAATTGTTAACGTCGTATCATTATCGATTAAGGTTAACGGCATGAAAGGACCACAAGACTGGAAGGTCCTTGGATTCTAAAGACTGATTTAAATCGAAAAGAGGTCTTTTTATACTTGCCACAGTTCTGAGACATCAAAAACCATCTTTAACATATAAGGCGTTCCTCGTCTGCATATTTCACTTCGATGTCATTTTATTTGAAGAATAGATTATAAATACTGTAGTAATGATTGTGTATTACAGTATTTCGAAGGACGAAGTACAGTATTTCCATTTACCTTGATTGCTCCTGTTATTTAGAAATTGGAAAAAGGGGTGCTTATATTTACACGAATCACTGGTTGAACAATAAAACTAGAAATCATTTGAAAGTTACGTGAATGTAAACCAACTTGAATGTTCTGTACGATTTTGAAGGTTTTATCTCTCTGGAGATGTATGTGTTCGAAATCCGGTCTCGTTTTGTTCCGAACCGCAGAGTGCAGTTTCTCGGCACCTCACCAGATTTTGAATTCTGGCGCGAGGTTTTTTTATCTGTCGATTGATTTGTAGCCTACAGATTTTTTTGAACATTTTGTTGAAGATTGATGAGTTTCCTTCGAGATTACAGCTGGAAATGAAACGGTGCTTTCTTGTTGAATGTCATTTTGATTATTTCCTTGACATACCGGTTTGCAGACGTATTCGGGACTCTTCTGTGTGGTGGTCAATCCGTACAAGAGACTGCCTATCTATTCTGAAAAGATCATTGAATGCTACAAAGGAAAAAAGAGGCACGAAGTCCCTCCGCACGTTTTTGCCGTCACCGATGCCGCGTACCGAAGCATGCTTCAGGGTAAGAGATCTATTATGAATGACTGAAGCTCTCCTGAATGAAAAATTGAGCAGTTTTTTTTTTCGAGAGAACCATTTTTCATACATTTTCTCTGCAGATCGTGACGACCAATCTATTTTGTGCACTGGAGAATCGGGTGCTGGAAAGACTGAAAACACGAAGAAAGTTATCCAGTANTGGATCTTCGAGGGGGAAAGCCTCCGCGTTAGGGAGGTTTTTATAACTTTTTAATGTATTTATTTTAAGGGAATTCAGACGAGGGCTTTAAGAAATTTAGCATATGAAGGTATTCGACGTAGAGATATTCGTGTGAACGACGTTCAACGGAACCGTATTTAGGCGAATATAAGAAATCCCATGGATTTCCCATGCAAAAAGAAAATTGAATTGCAGCATAGTAATAGCTAATTCCAATTGCCGTACTTTCCTGGTGTTCTGACCTTCCAGGAACCTAAGATTTCTGACTAAATTTAGCTTTTCTCCAGAAAAATATGAACGGTGTCAAGACTCTGTGATCAAAAACCATCTTTAGCATATAAGGCGTTCCTCGTCTGCATATTTCACTTCGATGTCATTTTATTTGAAGAATAGATTATAAATAGTAATGATTGTGTATTACAGTATTTCGAAGGACGAAGTACAGTATTTCCATTTACCTTGATTGCTCCTGTTATTCAGAAATTGGAAAAAGGGGTGCTTATATTTACACGAATCACTGGTTGAACAATAAAACTAGAAATCATTTGAAAGTTACGTGAATATAAACCAACTTGAATGTTCTGTACGATTTTGAAGGTTTTATCTCTCTGGAGATGTATGTGTTCGAAATCCGGTCTCGTTTTGTTCCGAACCGCAGAGTGCAGTCTCTCGGCACCTCACCAGATTTTGAATTCTGGCGCGAGGTTTTTTTTATCTGTCGATTGATTTGTAGCCTACAGATTTGTTTGAACATTTTGTTGAAGATTGATGAGTTTCCTTCGAGATTACAGCTGGAAATGAAACGGTGCATTCTTGTTGAATGTAATTTTGATTATTTCCTTGACATACCGGTATGCAGACGTATTCGGGACTCTTCTGTGTGGTGGTCAATCCGTACAAGAGACTGCCTATCTATTCTGAAAAGATCATTGAATGCTACAAAGGAAAAAAGAGGCACGAAGTCCCTCCGCACGTTTTTGCCGTCACCGATGCCGCGTACCGAAGCATGCTTCAGGGTAAGAGATCTATTATGAATGACTGAAGCTCTCCTGAATGAAAAATTGAGCAGTTTTTTTTTTCGAGAGAACCATTTTTCATACATTTTCTCTGCAGATCGTGACGACCAATCTATTTTGTGCACTGGAGAATCGGGTGCTGGAAAGACTGAAAACACGAAGAAAGTTATCCAGTACCTGGCTATTGTTGCAGCATCGAAACCGAAGTCTCACACGCCTGCCCCGCATGTGACGACCAATCGATTTTGTGCACTGGAGAATCGGGTGCTGGAAAGACTGAAAACACGAAGAAAGTTATCCAGTACCTGGCTATTGTTGCAGCATCGAAACCGAAGTCTCACACGCCTGCCCCGCAGTCGGTACGTTTCTCATGTTTCTATGGATTATGGTGTTGAGTACTTCTCTCAATTAGCATTAGGTTCAGGGAGAATGTTGAATTTTAATGTTAAAATGTTCTTTGTCAAAGCATGTTACAGTATGTTGATCAATTCGTTGAGTGGTCCAAAGATTTCCGGGAAATATGGAAGGATTTCTACGAACTGACGCGTTCTAAGTCGTGAAAACGTTTTTAACAAGACGAGATGTTGGAAAAGTTTGACGCATATCATGAACTATTGTAAACTCTGCTTCATAATCGTTTTATCGACGTATTTTCCGAACGACTCTTATGGAATTCGAAAACTGAGCTTTTATGCTTTTCTAGGAAGTGACAGTTTTCGCTCGTATGTGAATTTCACCCTTGTTTCTTTCACTGCGAATGGCTGTGACTTTTTTTTTTTTGAGAATCTTGGTATTGGTTGTAAAATTCAAATAATCACGCGCTATAATAGGTGCTTATAGAAATGTATCGAACTTTTTTCCAAATAGGAGGTACAGTATTTTGAAGAATTTTCAATTTACGGTACAACATTGGCTTTCCTACTACAAAATATTTAACATTGTTATCCGTATTGTTTTCCGTGAAATTTTGGACCATTTACGAATGGGGCACTGAGGATGATTGACGCATGTTCGGATTATGAATTTTATTACTGTAGTAATGTATTTTACTGACGAACGTGGTGACTTTGTTCTTGTTTTTCACTAACGGAAATGCATCACTTTTCTGATACTATACTCGGTTGTTACTGCGTCGATTTGGTTACGGTGTCAGGGAACATCAACGCCCACCCCGTCGAACGTTTTCGCCGTCGTGAGTATTTTACTGCTTTGATATCCTTTGATGCGTGAACAGTTCATAATAATCCTCCAAATTCGTGGAAATGTTTTCTGTCTTCTTAATCATCGCTGAGTCTTGAAAGCGTCGCTTAAAGCGGAATTCTCCGCAGAATTTAAAGTTTCGTACACATGTTCCGCGATTAACCTATATTGCATTTTAATGTCTGAATACTATTTTTATGTTTTGATTTGATGCATGATCAAGTTTCAAAGCAATTTATTTCGAACCGACGTGACAAAGCTTGGTTGGTTCCTTTCCAATGGTTGTGGTTTCGGAACTTCGGTGAATAACGTTTCTGTTTTTGGTGCATGCGCTTGTGCTTGAATGCATGTTATGTGCATCGTCGCTCTGGACCTCACTGAAAATGTAACAGCATGGCAACAGCCATTTCTCAGCGGTACGTACTCCGATTCGCATGCATTTGCACGTGTGAACATCCAAGGATTAATTTGCATGCTTAAATGTGTTCTTCCTAAAGAGCGATTGGCTCACAATTTTCTTCTACTGTATATCCTTAACTAATTACTGGATAATTGTTAATTTGTACTCGAGCTGTATCCTGGAATATGTCTTTTGAAATTTGTTGGAAATATGTAGCGATCATTTTTTTCAGACTTATATTAATTTTTAATTCAATCTTCTGGTTATTGCAATTTTCTTCCTTACTATTCAATTTACTGTACCTTTTATCCAATGATGGACTGAACATGAATCAAATCTAGTACTCCGTAACCGCGGCTAAACAAATATAATCTGATTGTTCGACAATTGAATGTGATGCCGTCTTATTCCTGATTGTTTTAAATTATGTAATGTACCTGTACTAATGAATCCGTTAACATTTCCAAGCTTCATTATTTTTATCCATTCGAATTGCTCAATTTTACAAATTAGGGCGAACTGGAGCAGCAACTTTTGCAAGCCAATCCGATTCTTGAAGCTTTTGGAAATGCCAAAACAGTCAAGAATGACAATTCCTCGCGCTTCGTAAGTTTTCGCCGATTCCATGAGACAAATTTGAGATATATTTAATTTTCGACTTGCGCAATAGGGGAAATTCATCAAGATCAACTTCGATTCCAGTGGATACATTGCGGGTGCAAACATTGAGACGTATTTGTTGGAAAAAAGCAGGGCGATTCGTCAGGCGAAAAACGAACGAACGTTTCACATCTTTTACCAACTTCTTCTTGGTGCTACATCTCAAGAGAGAAGTTCGTTCGCCATGCCTGAGCATGAGGATCTTTATACAAAACAATGTTTTCACATGTTCGACTTTTGCAGAGGATTATCTGTTGGAGAGTGTCCCCAATTACACATTCATGAGCCAGGGTCAGCTGCAGTTGACCGGTGTTGACGAGACTCAGGAATTCGAAGCAACTGTTAAGGCCATGACGATAATGGGGTTGTCTCCAGAAGAGCTCAGCGGTGAGTAAATTGTCTTTCTTTTCCATTGAAGAGAAAACCCGATCTGAAGTTCAATGCAAATAGTTTTCGAATATCAATATGGGACTTTAAATTAAGACGTGAAGCATTTTCTGGGAAGATGGGAGAATCATTCATCGATTAACCTCGCGAGATGCGGTGCCTCGAAGTGAATCTTTGTTCTTCCTTCATTTCACATCATGTTTTTGTTCAAATATGAGAAAAATATGGTGAAACTGTATTTGGGAACGCCGAAATGACAAATTGTTTCTTCGTATGTTCGCTTTCGATCATACTTGACGAATTCAATAGTTCGGCTAATTAGCACAATTGTTTCTTTTCCGCTCTACTCCTCCAGCAATTTTCAAGACTGTGTCAGCAGTGCTTCTGTTCGGCAACATGCAGTTCAAGCAGGAGCGAAACAGTGATCAGGCAACTTTGCCAGACAACACGGTGGCGCAGAAATTGGCTCACCTGCTCGGCGTCCCAGTGACAGAGATGACCAAAGCTTTTCTTAAGCCCCGAATCAAAGTCGGGCGAGAACACGTCAGCAAGACTCAAACTAAAGAACAGGTTTGTTTTCCCCTCTTTTGGTATCCTCTTAATCTGGAAGGCTAATTATTATTTTTTTTTAATTCCGGAACGATGTGCATTCCTTTTTTTTCCTCTTTTTTCAAATTTTGGAACATTAAACGTTGCAACGGAGGTAAATCCTGTGCTTTTTCGTACGTTAGACTGACTTCGAAACGCCCTTGTTTTTCTGTTTTTGAATCTGCCTTGCTGTGACATTTTTTGCTTGAAAAACTATAACAATCTTTCTGCAAGGTGTTTTTTTTTGTTTTAAGCGTGTTTGATGCGGTATTTGTCTCGAAATTTGCAACAACGAAAAAAACGCTGCATGAGTCCTCAAAGTATGCACTTCTCTTTGTTACAGGTTGAGTTCGCAGTTGAAGCGCTTGCGAAAGCGATGTATGAAAAACTTTTCCGCTGGCTTGTGATCCGGATTAACAAATCTTTGGATCGCACCAAGCGTCAAGGACCGTCTTTCATCGGTATCCTCGATATTGCCGGATTTGAAATTTTTGAGGTTAGTTCAGAGTTCAATTTTCCTGATGAACTTGGTCTCACTTTAGATGAGAATCGATTGTTATGCTACCAGTTTTGTCTACGCTCTGCGGGCAGAGGTAATTCCCACGGAAACGTAATTAATTCGTGAGGAATCATAAACACTTTCAGACCCGTGATCGATTCTCGGGAAATCGTATTTTAATACTGTGAAACGTTTTATGTTTCAGTTGAATTCCTTCGAGCAACTTTGCATCAACTACACAAATGAGAAATTGCAGCAGTTGTTTAATCACACCATGTTCATTCTGGAGCAAGAAGAATACCAGAAGGAGGGTATTGAGTGGCAGTTCATTGATTTTGGACTCGATCTGCAGCCGACCATCGACTTAATCGAAAAGGTATGAATTGTTAAATATATAGTGTGAATAGAGAATTCATCAGTACTCTACTCAATGTGCCATCTTTGTCGTCGCTATTTTTCTGCGAATTTTCTGTCCCGCGAAAGAAGGCCTCTTGAAATTTGAATTGTCTTGATTTAAAATTTCTTCACCATTCTTCATATCTTTTCAGCCGATGGGAATATTGTCGCTGTTGGACGAAGAATGCTGGTTCCCGAAAGCTACGGATAAAACTTTTGTGGAAAAGCTCATGACTTCTCACTCTCTTCATCCCAAATTCATGAAGACTGACTTCAGGGGTGTTTCTGATTTCGCGGTTGTGCATTATGCAGGACAGGTTTGTCGTCAATAATGTTTTGTTTTTATGAATGAGTCTTCCGACGTTTCACTGTTCAATCGTTGTTAAGGTCGACTATTCAGCGGCGAAGTGGTTGATGAAGAACATGGACCCCTTGAACGAAAACGTTGTGTCCTTGCTTCAGTCGTCTCAAGAAAATTTCATGGTGCAAATCTGGAAAGACGGTAGGCTTTTTTTGATTTTATTTTTTTTGGTTTGTTTTCTTTTATTTAAATTTTTTCAGCTGAAATTGTCGGAATGGGAAGCATGGTCTCCCCAGATTCGCAGTTCGGTGGAGCTCGAACGAGGAAGGGAATGTTCCGTACCGTGTCCCAGCTGTACAAAGAACAACTTGCTAAACTCATGGTAAAATTTTATTTTCACCGTCTGTTCGCCGTGAGGTATTCGATGATTATTTGCTTTATTTTTGTTTTATAGGGAACTCTGAGGAATACGAACCCCAATTTCGTCCGCTGTATCATTCCAAATCATGAAAAACGAGCCGGGAAAATCGATCCTTTACTTGTTCTGGATCAGCTTCGTTGTAACGGCGTTTTGGAGGGAATCCGTATCTGCAAACGGGGCTTCCCGAATCGCATTCCTTTCCAGGAATTCCGCCAAAGGTTTGCATAATTCAGTTAATTAATTCGACCTCATGCATCGAAAATTTCAATACACGTATTTTATGACTGATCATGTTTCTCATTCGGAAGTTTTGCCCATGTATAATTGCCATTGGTTGATCAAATATTGTTATGAATTGCAGATACGAATTGCTGACGCCCAATTGCATTCCAAAAGGATTCATGGATGGCAAGAAAGCGTGCGAAAGAATGGTGAGGAGTTTTTTCCTACAATTAGCGAGTCTATTCTTTTTATTTATTGATTCCATTCCAGATCGCTTCTCTGGAGATTGACGAAAATTGTTTCAGAATTGGACAGAGTAAAATATTTTTCCGCGCCGGTGTCCTAGCTCACTTGGAAGAAGAACGCGAATTGAAGATCACTGATTTGATCATCAATTTCCAATCCTACTGCCGTGGAATGTTGGCTAGAAAGTACGTATACATATTTTTTCTTCTTGAATTGAGAGCGTTTTATCTATTGATATTGGTATCGTGACGGATGTTCTCGAATCAATTTTAATTCTGTACTAGATTCTCAACTGGTTACTGTCTTGAGATAGAAATAAAAAATTAATTCGCTAATTTTTCTGCAAAACATTAAAGCTTCAAATGCTGCGTTTCATCGAATCTCTGCTTAATGACTTTTCTTTTTTCATTAGGAATTTTCAGAGACGGATGCAGCAACTGAACGCCATGAGAATTATCCAACGCAATTGTTCTGCATACCTAAAATTGCGAAATTGGCAATGGTGGCGTTTATATACGAAAGTTAAGCCTCTGCTGCAAGTCACGAAGCAAGAAGAGAAGTTGACTGAAAAGGAAGACGAATTGCGAGCAGTGAAAGAAAAGTTGGAGGCTCAATGTCGAGTCGCCGCTGATGTGGAGAAGAAATATGAGATGGTGTGTTTGTATTAGTCACGCTTTTGAAAATTAACTTTAACGTAATTATATTTTTCGCGTTTTTTTTTGAATTGTTCTTCAAGATAATCGAAGAGAAGAACATTCTTGCCGAACAACTTCAAGCCGAAACGGAGCTTTGTGCTGAAGCGGAAGAGATGCGAGCGAGGCTTCAATCTCGCAAGCAAGAGCTCGAAGACATTTTGCACGATCTGGAAGCCCGTGTTGAGGAAGAAGAGGATCGTTCCAATCAGCTGCAAGTAGAGAAGAAAAAACTGCAGACACATATCCAAGACTTGGAGGAACAATTGGAAGAAGAAGAAGCCAATCGACAGAAGCTGCAATTGGAGAAAGTTCATGTTGAATCTAAAGTCAAGAAGTTGGAGGAAGATCTTAGTATTGCCGAGGACGCAATGCAAAAGGTTTGTTAAACTTTACAAAGGAAAAATTGAGATACAGTGCAGTACTTAGCTGTTCATTAACACGCATCGAGAGAAACTGCAATTGCGGTACTCCTTTAAATATTCCGAAGAGTTCTACGATATTCTACTCGGCAGCTATTTCTCGTTTCTTCTCACGAAAATCTAATTTAGCTTGTGTAAAGCATCTGGGTGTGAATCGTGCTTGTGACGTCAAGTGTTCTTCCGATTTTCGTTGAAAATATGATGTGTCTCACACATAGCATCGTCAGGATATTTGCATTTTTGTAAGCTGTATAGGTTGCAGGAAAACCAAGCAAAATTGTATTGAAATTATTGGTAAACATGTCGAAGTTTAGAAAAGTTGCGTGAGATAGGAAGGAACGAATCATTTAAGAAAATAGTTTACCTTAAGCTCAGTAAACCTTCTGAGTTTCTCTCTACCTACGTTCACTTTAAATTTTTGGACCCCGTTAATTTAAATGTCTAGAAATATTTTCAATGTGGAACACTTGATAATTGTAGACCTGCCAACGAAGCTCACTGGAGAAAGTGGTGTTCAATTCTGCTGTAATGTAAAGTTTTGTGATTTGTGGTTTTAAAGCTGTCGAAAGAGAAGAAGATGTTGGACGAGCGCGCCAACGATTTATCGCAAGCCCTCGCGGAAGAGGAAGAGAAGTCCAAGCATCTCAGCAAACTTCGCATCAAGCAAGAAACGTCGATTGCGGAATTGGAAGAGCGCGTAATAAAAGAAAACCAAGCACGTCAGGAAATGGAGCGCGCCAAACGTAAAGCCGACGGCGAGTTGAACGATATCAAAGAACAGTTGAACGACCGCAAAGTGAAGATCGAAGAAATTCAGCAACTTTTGTCCAAGCGCGACGAGGAACTCACTCAGGCTCTAATGAAAGTGGATTCGGAAACTGCGCAAAAGTCGCAGAACTCTAAATTTGTTCGCGAACTGGAGGCTCATCTTGCTGAGCTGCAAGAGGATTTGGAGGCTGAAAAGGGCGCGAGAGCGAAGGCAGAAAAGCAGAAGCGTGACTTGAATGAAGAGCTGGAAGCTTTGAAAAATGAGCTGTTGGATTCCTTGGACTCGACCGCAGCCCAGCAAGAATTGAGAACCAAGCGAGAACAGGAACTCGCTGCTCTCAAACGCAGTCTTGAGGAAGAAGTAGCAAATCATGAACAAAATATCGCTGAATTGCGGCACAAGCATAACCAAGCTCTTGAGCAGTTGAACGACCAACTCGACACTGCGAAGAAATCCAAGGTTGCTTTAGAGAAAGCCAAGCAGACTCTCGAATCTGAAACTACCGAGCAAGCGAAGGAAATTAAGATGCTATTGGCGACTCGTCAAGACGCCGATCGAAGGCGGAAAGCTGTTGAAACTCATCTTGCTGAAACTGAAAGCCGTTTGAGTGTAAGTCTAATGTTGCAAAAGAAATAGGCAAAGAAACTTCTACAAATACTGTACGTTCTCTGTCAAATTATCAGGAGCTGGAGCATTTGCGGGCAAGTGAGACCGAGAAGATACAGAGGTTAACAGCAGAGGTGGAGAGTTTGCAAATCCAACTGTCTGAAGCCGAATCACGTTCGATCAGCGCTGGCAAGAATTTGCTCACTGCTGAAAGTCAGCTGGCAGAATCACAGGTAAACATGGTGCCTTTTCTAGATTGAGTAATTCTTCTTTGCAAGACAATTTCTATCCTGTTCCAACGCGCTTTCAGACCGAAATCTTTTTGTAATCTTTTTTTCAGCTCAAACCTTACGGAAAGAAATACGAGAGCCTAATCTGAGCAATTTTAAAATTGACTTCAGTATGAATACAAGGAAGAACACTAATTTCTGTACTTGAATTCAAAATTCGGATTTTCCAGAATTCCGTTCGGGTTTCGTGCATATATTTTCTAGAGGATTCGGTAAACTTTTTGAAGATATGAATAATAACCTTATGATTTTTTAACTCTAATCCTTCAGCAAGTATTGGCGGAAGAAACGCGACAAAAGATGGCATTGAAGGCGGAGCTTCGTCATTCGGAAGCATCTCGTGAGCAACTCAGAGAACAGCTTGAGGAGGAAGGCGAAGCCAAGGCCGCTTTTGAGAAACAAGTGCGAAAGAAACTTGCAATTTTGCTCTAGGTTCAGCCCAACAAAATCTTTATGTATGTTCAGGTCAGTGTGTTATCCAGTCAAGTTGTGGAAGCCAAAAGAAAAGCTGAAGAGGAAGCACTGAATTCTGCTGCCGTTGAGGAAGTCAAGAAGAGGCTGGTCAAGGTATGTATCTATGCCAACTCTCAAGTGTGTATACATTATCAGGTTTTTGAGTCTTTTGAGTGGAGGAAAAACTGGACTAGAGCATGATGCGTTAGAAGTAGAAGTATAGAAATATAGTATAGTCTTAAATTTTGCAGGATCTTGAATCTGTTCAAAACTCTCGAGATGAATTACAAGCTGCCAACGAGAAACTCGAAAAAAGTCGCAAGAAGCTTCAGGTTGAATTGGAAGACGCCAACACCGACTTGGATACGCAGCGTGGAAAAGTACGGAGCTTGTCGTTTCTTTTATCGATTTTTCCTACGACCGTTGTCACATGGAACGTGACGACACACTTCTTGATTTCAGGTTGTTGAACTGGAAAAGAAGCAACGCAACTTTGATAAAGTTCTTGCTGAAGAAAAGGCCGTTTCCTCGCGCGTTGCCGAAGAGCGGGATAATGCTGAAAGGGAAGCGCGCGAGAAAGAGACGAAGTTGCTCAGTTTGGTGCGTGCCCTGGATGATGCTCTGACGCAAGTGCAAGAACTTGAACGGCAAAAGAATCAACTTCAGGTTAGTGAATCAAGCTCATTTACAAGCTTGTAGCTTTTGTTTGAAAGTATGGTCGGACGTCGAGGTGTTCGAAAGTCAAAGGCTTATTCATGTACTGTATACGTGAATGCAGTAGACAGTGAAGGGTCTATGATGTTAAAGAAGTTGATTTAATTTTTCGAGAAAAACAGAATGATGTGAACTCTTCCAGTTCTCTTAAATTAAGCACTTTAATTAATCTCCAGACGTCTGAAGAAATGTCTAAATTCATGCCCGGGATGATATTCAGTGCCATCGATGATTTTTCCGCGAATCCAAGTATTTGGAGAATATAAATTTTCTTTAACTTTTGGAATTCTCAATTGTGTATCGCAGACATTTTAATCATCAAATTCACTGCGAGATACAATACTTTCGTTTTTCAAGGTTGAGTTGGAAGATGTTGTCAGCTCCCAAGGCACTGCCGACCGCAACGCTGTTGAGTTGGAGCGAGCCAAACGTACTCTTGAAACCCAACTTGCTGAACAAAAGACGCAGTATGAGGAGTTGGAAGATGAGTTCCAGTTGATGGAAGATGCAAAACTGCGTTTGGAAGTCAACATGCAAGCACTGAAGCAACAGATGGACCGAGATCTTCAGGCTAAAGAAGAAGTGGCCGAGGAACAGCGCAAGAGCCTGCAGAAACAACTCCGCGATATGGAAGTGGAGCTGGAAGACGAGAGGAAGCAAAGAGTGGCTGCTCTCAACTCTCGGAAGAAGATGGAGGCTGACTTCAAAGACTTGGAGCAGCAAGTCATGATGAGCAACAAGCTTAAGGAAGATGCTTTGAAGCAATTCAAGAAGGTGCAGTCCCAGGTGAAGGATTATCAACGAGATACGGATGAAGCACGCGCTGCGCGTGATGAGTTGTTACTGCAGCTGAAGGATGCAGAGAAGAAGATGAAGAATCTTGAGGCTGACGTCTACCAGGTTTTTAATTTTTCCATACATTCTGCAGAATAGTTCGTGAAAATTATCCTTGACGATCTGCATGCTCAACAAGCGACGTGTGAAAACCATTTTATCCTGGGTATTATTTTTAGGTTCATCGCCAAAATTACTTCTGGTTTTGTCGCATGAGTTCGGGGCATAAACGTGAAACCGATACTCAAAAGATTTTCAAGGGAGAAAATGCAATTTTAACGTGTAAGGCTCAGGCTTATCTTGGCGAAGTGTAGGTGTCGCCTGGACGTTAGTACAGTTCATTGAGCATACTTCTGGTCAAAATAGTTTCGACCTTCAGAAATCAAGGTCGGTTTAAAAGTATAGAAAAAACGCAATATTTTTAGCTCATTTTCAATTTTTTAACGTATACAGAAGGAACGCTGCATTTTAGTGTAGTTTTTAGTTTTCACTTAATTGCCGCTGTGAGGTTGAATATACTCTAAAGTAGCATTCGTTATAGGATAAACTTCGAATTTTCCAAAGGTGCATGAGAATTTGGCCGCGGCGGAACGTGGTCGTCGCGCAGCAGAAGTTGAACGCGACGAGCTGGCGGAGGAGATCAGCAGTCATTCAACTAAAGGAATTCTGTTGGCTGACGACAAGCGCCGGTTAGATGCTAGGATCCAGGCTTTGGAAGATGAGCTGGAAGAGGAACAAACCGGACGTGAAGCTATGGCCGAACGTTTCCGCAAGGCGCAATTGCAAATTGAACAACTCACCGCTGGTACGTGGTTTTATTTTTTCTGCTCTTCTTACATTGCTGTGATGTATTCTCTACTTTGCCGACTTCACGGAGTTCCACCGCATTCTTGTATGTACGATGTGCATAAATAAGCTTCAACGCGTGCCTTCGGTGACTAGAAACCGAAGATGCCTGAGGTACAGTCACAAAAGTAACGCCTGTGCGACAGTGATGAATGAAATTTTTGCTGGATTACTTGAGACTTTCCGAATTTTTTTCAATGTATGTAACATTTATCAGGGATGTATTCGTGTGTATCTTCTGATCGTAGATCTTCGTGTTCATGAACGGTTATTACGGTTTGTTAATTTGCTAGTTTACTGATTCAGTTCTCACGATTGCTTTACAATTCAGATTTATCAGCTGAGAAGGGATCAACGAGCAAATCAGAAAGCCAGCGCGTGCTCCTCGAACGCCAGAATAAGGAGCTGAAGGCAAAGATTGGGGAACTGGAAACTGCGCAACGTGCCAAGTCGAAGGCGACAATCGCCGCACTCGAGTCCAAGATAGCCAATTTCGAAGAACAACTGGAGGCTGAAGGCAGGGAACGGCAAGCTGCATTGAAGATAAATCGAAAGCTGGAGAAGAAAGTGAAGGAGCTTTTCCTGCAGTTGGAAGACGAGAAACGGAATTCTGACCAGAATAAAGAGGCGAATGAAAAGGTATGAATTGAAAGCGCGTTGCAAAGACAGTCTTGACCTCACGACTTCGCATATCTGAGCCCATAGATTACTAGCTAGAGTCCGAAAAGTCGTGTTTCATGATAGAAATAATTTACAGTTGATCTCTCGCTGACTTTTTGTTTTGGTCTTCGATTGCGATTTTTATATGCATGAATCCATCTTGTGCCTTTATTTCAAAGACAACCGTCCGTATCAAAGCGCTCAAACGGCAATTGGAGGAAGCTGAAGAAGAAATCACGCGCGAAAAAGCGCAGCGTCGTAAAGCGCAGCGTGAATTGGAAGACGCACTAGAAGCTCATGAAGATCAAGCCCGTGAACTTGCGACTCTGCGCAATCGTTTGAGGTTTGTACACTTGCTAATAAATGATTACTTCCATATTCGCGTGGACATTCACGAGTTGTAGGAGTGACGATATTTGGTGGCTTGACTTTCACAGTATGAAATGATCCGGCGTTTAAAAAGTTACTGTTCGGTAGGAAGTTCACAAATAAATTGACGAATAGTAGTAATGTACAATAAACATGTAGACTGTAGAGTACTGTATTCCTTTTCGATAACAGTGATTACGACAATTAATTCAACGTGGTTAGATGTCACTGACAGTCACAGCTGCATTTTTCCTTGAGTCATCTCAGACTTGACTACAGTATATGCCCCATTTCATGCTCCATCTGCTTCTGGGTTCCAGCAATAGCCATGTGCGTGCATGGTTATTGCTGCAATACCATTCAAACCTGATGGGCATAGTCGCCCACGTTTTCGATGCACCCAAGTTCATCTATGAATAGAAATGCAGGTGGACTCTCCCTGCGACAAAATTCAAGCAACCACAGAACATTTTTCGTTGAGACAATTTTGTCATGAAGAATCCGTGTAATGTTGGGAGGGAACCCTGTGCCTATGAGACAAAAAGAATAAAATAAGATAAATTCGTTGCATAGATGTAATCTTTGTGGAGAGAGTGCACCTGTATGTCGAGATGGCTGATTTTTCACGCTATCAATACGTTTTTGCCCTTCCATTTGTGAGAATGTTGAGAGTGAGAGCATGTTACATCGTTCAGGAATTTCTTATTTATTAGGCAATTAAATCGTCAGAGGTTTGTGCGTGATTTAGGTGGCGAGAGGTGTGAAGAATTCCCATTTGTGTACCGTTTTCACGAATTTGGTTCATTACGCAGGACCGCTGACGACGCGTTGAGGTTACCGTATATGTAGGATCCCATTGAGTTAACCTTTAAGAAAAAAAATTTTTATTTCTCGTGTGGAATTTTTTAAAACTTTTAAAGTGAGCGATGGTTATGCGAGGAACTTTTAAAAACTTATTTAAAACATGAAATTTAGTGCGTATCAGCGTAATGTTCTGTTTTTTTCAACGTTTTCTAAGAAAGGCATTCCGTACGCCGTGCATTAAATTAGTGTCTTGTACGTTGGACACGGATGTTTTCTGACGTCAAGTTCTGATCATGTGTTGATGCAGTGCCGGCATGGTAGGAACAAACTCGAATAGGCGACGGATGGAATCTTCGGAGTCGGAGATTTGATGAAAATGGTGCCGGTCGTTCGAATTCAACTCCAACTCTTATCCTTACTTTCGGATTGTCCGATAGCAACTTCCGAATTACTAACCAATTTATTTTTCGACTGGGCCAAGATAATATTATGTCGGATATCGGCACCCGTGTCACGGACGGTTAGATACAGGTAAATTTGTACGCAATATGTATATCCTGGGGCACATTTTCTTGTTTTCGTGACTGGGGAAACGAAAGTGTTTGTCGTTGGGGATTGTTTTGCGTGACTTGGGGAGCTTACGTTCGTCTGCCGCGAAGCTTGTGCCGTTTCAGTTATCGCTTTATTGTCAGAATAGGAGCTCTGCAATTCTCTCTGTACAAAGCTTCATACGGGTTTCGATGTTTTGATTAGCCGTGAACGCAGCTATCTTTTGCCCATTTCTTCTGTATCAAACTTTGTCTATGTGTTGGTGATTTTCGTGGGTACGTGATGTGTTGCTCTGAAGATACTCGTGGGTATGGTCGAATGCAGTGACGCAGATTCAATTCCTGGTGGATGGAAATTCTCCCGTGAAGACATTAATGGGATTCTTCTTCGGAGCAGCTTTGCGCCATTTTGTTTTTCCTTACATTATCCCTGGTCGCATTGAAAGTGATCCAAGCACTTCCATAGTGTGTGGTTTCCGAAGATTCACTTTACTATGCGTCTAGAGAGATCTTTAATCTATGTTATCAGTTCGCATGCTTATTTGCAATGAAAAATTGTGTCAACGGCTGTCGTTTGTGATCACGACATCATTTTAATTACGTTAAGAGTTATCCAAAGTTTCATCAGTCATCTTGTTCCTCATAAGTGTGCCCTTAAGCTTCGCTGCAGTATGAAACGTAGTCCCTTTCAAAAATAAGTAAATTTTGCGATGCGAAGTAAATTTTTGAATATCCTAAAGATTTAGTTGACCTATTATGCACTAATTTCGTCTCACAGTTTCAACCCCGTTCATCGTATGGCTCCATGAGAGAATCCCGTGGGGTACGAAAATCCCGCAATGACGTGAATTTTTGCATCAGACGAAGCCCATTTTGGGAACTAAAGTGGGCGATGGTTTGCGGACAAATTCTGAATTATTGAACGATTATAAATAAAAATTCAAGTAGGAAAACCCCATAGGAGCAAAAATCTTGTAGATTACCAAATTATGAAAGTGGGTCTTTGGGGTATCCTTCGATGCATGCTACAAGTTAAAGATTAACTTTCTCAAGAGCCTGTGAAAGATATGGCCTTCACTTTGAGTTTTAATCCCTCCATTTGCACTGAATGAAAACTGTGTAGTATTCTTCTCTACAGATTTTCGTACTTCGTGGGATTTCTTTACCACGAGACATGTGCAGACCCACGGATTTTCTTCTAACTGCATCCCATCGTATTGTTGCTCACCGTTCTTGGTTTAATTTAGTTCCGAGCTGTTCTGATATTTTAATCGGAGAACCTTGAAGATATACGAATGAAAACCCGACCTAAACTTCCTTAACGGACTAACGCTCAAAATAGCCCTGCAATGTGAAGCCATGTATTCAGCCTGAAGAAAACTGGAAATTTTTATTCCACCACATCTCCTTTCGCCTTATTCGTGTGCCATGTTGTCTCAGATGGAGCTGAGAATTTTTGGATTTTGTTGAACAAACGATGAATTGTGTTTGATTGCAACTGCTTGAATATAATTTGGTTCGTTTAAAGGCGTGACGGAACAAGTGTGAGCGGAAGACCTGGAGGCGGGAAAATGGGCGCCATGGATGAAATCAGCGCGTCTTTGCCCGCGTATCAAACCGAAGCTCTTGACGGAGAGGATGATCGATCCAAGTGAAAACATAATTCGTCATAATTCGTCGCAGGTTGACTGAACTTGTCAAATTTGTCCCTGTAGTCGTAGCCATTATGAACACCCCATCTAATGCTTGGACGGCAATTAATGGGTGCAGTTGATTAATTTTTCAAGCTTCCTTCCGTGTGATCAGAAGATGAACAATTGGAGCGTGCGCAATATGCCTGCGTAACGCTCGAGTGTTTCCGCCATTCGTTTGCATGTTTCGCCGATTCAAACTTTCCATCCTAACGAGGCTTCCTCCCTCAAGAGACGGTTGAGCTTCAGAAAAGCGTATCAAAAAATCTACCTTATCAAAAAATGACGTAGTCGAGTTTATGTTTGGTGTTCAAGTGAAGTGAGTGAGAGAGCTTGCATTTGGACTCTGTAAGCTTGTGCCTTGCATCTCGTTTTATTCTGGAATAGCACAACGAACGAGGCACTGTTACCAGCTTCAAGAGAGGTTGTAAAGTATTTTTAACTGGTGAGGGTTTCTTGGAGTGACAGGAACGGAAATCTGCGAAGCATTTCATTTTTTTTTCGTGCATTTGAAAAATCGGGAATTTTTCATTCAGCCGAAGTCATTCCTCCTCCGTCCGTGACTTTCCCCAGTCCGTGACTCGAAGGCTTTTATTTTCCCAACGAAATTTTCGCTTTTTTGCGCGTGGTTGGGCGATTTAACATGGAATTTTCCGGTGTGTTTCGGTTTGTACTAAGTTATTCGAATGTGTGGTTCGTGTCGACTTTTTCTGTGTACGCGTAGTTATTGGTTGTGCATATGCTTTCGCATTCCAAGCTCAAACCGGATTCTGTGGCTTTGTTTTGTGCTCGCCTATATTTTACAAGTGAAGACGATGGCGAAAGTCACCTTCAGAAAACAAGTTTGCCTTTGCTTTGAACGTCTGCAATTGAAAATCTATTTTTCCATGTATTGCTTCGCGTCGTCTTGTGAGAAAAGCTCGGAAAGATGCTCGATGGGACTGATGAAGAGAAGGATGGGAAAAGTAGAGTTTCATGAGATTAGTTCACTTCTTGTGCTGTTTTATTTCACTGCTGGTTTTTTTTTTTTTCCAACTGCGTGGAGAGGTCCGATACTTGGAAGAAAATTGCAGAAAGAGTGATACCTGCTCAAACTTCTACAGTATTTTCGATTTTAAAAAGTTATTTTCTACACTTATGAAATTAATGTCTCCTATTTCTGACTCGTTTTGTCTGCTGGACGCTCCGCGTAAATCCCACTTATTCTGAAGTGCTTCAGCGAGAGTTGAGCGTGTGCGCCAAAATCAGCTGCTCTAGTTGATTCCTGATAACTTTTCACGCGAAGAAACCGTATTGCAACTGATGAAACAGAATTGCTTATTTTCTCTTGATTGTTGACTTCACGGAAAAGAGCTAGCTTTTATGACTGTTCGGGCTGCGCAAGTGCGTGATTTCTTTCCGACGCACAAATATGAGGATAATGAAATTCCTGACTTGTTTATGTTCACTTACGAAAGAGGAAGAAACTCTTAATTCTCACTCTTGCAGTAATTTTGAGTTATGTTGAACACTGTACGCACACTTTGTTTTATTCATTTCGGAATCTCTTGGATGAGTATCCATCCTGCTTCCTGTGATGTTCCATACAGAATTTTCGAACCTCTTCACGCATCCGTAGTTCTTTCAGTAAATACTTCATGGAATTCATCACGCAGGAAGATGGAGGGAAAAGCCAATTGGCATAAGGTTTTGTACAAGAGACGAAATTTGCCGGATAATCATGACGACGATACCTTCCTGGAGCGAGTAAAGCGAAATGGTGAGTCTAAATTTTTCATGCGTTGTTTTAAAACTTTCGCATGTTAACAAGGTTCTTTGTTTCAGTCAATTTCCGACACGTGACCAGGTTGGAGGCGATTGTTGGTTCTTGTCGGGTTGCTCAACAAATCTGTGCGTGAGTGTTTTACTACAGTATGCATGTATACAATACAGTCTAAGCATCTTTCATCATGACGGCAATGCGAAGACTGACTTGCACGCAGAGTTCCTGATATCCTTGCGCATTCGCATTTTCACCCATGATTTCAAGAAACCAGTTGTTCAGACTATTCCAAGTAATCGCCTGAATTGTTTTCTTCCTTTGTCATTGTTTTTCATACATTTCGCGAACGTGAATGATGGGAAAAATTGGCGACCGGCCATTTATTCATGTCGGACTTCATTTTTTAATTGGATGACATTTTCTGGATATAAAATTGTTCCAACCAGAGATGATGAGAAACATGGGCTGTGTAAACTTTTTAATTGTTTGCAAGTGTCATATAGAAAATTTATTTGTCGGTAGTTCAAGTTTGAAGAAGGAAGAGGTTCTGAGTCGCCTTTGTATGAAAATGTTCTAATTTTTTGATCCAGAGAGCTCTGAGACGTGTTTTAATTCGCATCAGTGAATGTGTCGAGAATAAAAGAAAAAATTAACGTAGTTTTTCATCGAGCCAGTTGAACAAATTTATGAACTTCGCACAAAAAGTCAGACATTCCTCATCTTAAGAGAGAATTGGTGTGCAATTGGTAATGAGGTCCGTGCGTGTATAGTTGCTTCATTGTAAAGACCTGTTGTAGGCTTAGGAAATTTTTCGATCGAAATCCGATTTTTTTTCCTTCGATTAAGAACAGCTTCTAAGATTTTTAATCCTGATCGCATTTTCAAAACGGGTTTCAGAGTTTGCTTGTTCGGAATCGCGTTTGTGCACATGGATGCTAAGAATGTTGATGAAATGGACGTGTTCTGGGCCACGAGTCTGGCTTCATTCGTGGGATACATCGTTTATAAAATGATCGTCGGCTGGAAAAGAAGTTGTAAGTCATTCGATCATCATTTTTCTTCATCTATAAGAACCTTCGGATCTTCAATAGCTTGAAAAATCCTTGTTTTTCGTAGAAACGTGAACATTTTTTCAATATTGTTCTGCACTATATTTGCCACAGTATGGGATGATTTGAAGAGCCTATGGATTTTTCTTTTCGCTGGATATGGTTTGTCGCCGGTGCTCAAAACACTCACTGCATCAATTAGCACTGACACCATAGAAGCCATGGCGATCATGATGTTCATCACGCATCTCATTTTCCACAATTACGGCCTCGATGCTGCCATGTAAGTCATGCCTTATTAGGCTCATCTTCGGTGAATTCGTCATTTTCCATCGGTATTGTATTCCATTATCCGCGTTACTCGATCGTTGCTGGAGCCGACATTGATTTCTATGATTGGATAATTATTGTTTCTATCCAGAGTTTCCAGAGCTTTGTCCATCAACGCCGCCGTGTTCGCAAGCATTTGCTTAGCTTCGCGTTTGCCCACAACAACTCACGCGTTCGTTTTGCTCACGATGGCTGTGGAGTTTTTTGCGTTGTGGCCGGTTCTTCGCGATCAGATCGTCGTAAGTAATCGAGTTTGGGTCCATGAGGAAACTCTGTATAGGTACGAAAATCTTGCAGGGTGCGAAAATCCCACAGCCTGAATTTATGCATCAGAAAAAGCCTCTTCTGGTAACCAAAGTAGGCGATATGGTGTGAAGACAAATTCTGACTCATTAAACATGTATAAATGCAGTTTGGAAGTCAAATTTCATTCACCAGGTTTTTATGTTGGAATCCTCAAAATCATGCCAAGTTGAAATTTCATGAAGTTCTAGGCTTTCAAGAATGTTAGAATCCATCAGATCGATTGAATTCTATCGTATTTGTATCAGTTTCACAGCATTTGACAATTTCCGAAAAATAAATTGATCGGTTAACTCCGGGGGTAGGCCCCACGAGATTTCCGAGCCCCGGGATTTTCTCATACACCCATCGTGGAGTAACTTTTCTTCATTCATCGGATTCATGTTTTTATCCCGGGAATTGGCGTTATCTGTTTACAATATAGGAACGATTGTCAAACGTTCACCAAATCCTGTGGACAATTGTCCTCATGGCTGCAAGTTTCGGAGCCATCTTCGTTCTCTCGTCGGTTTTTTCAATATTGTTCCTGATGCTGATGCTTTTTGTGTGCATCATATGTCCCTTATGGTTCGTTTCGTGGCAAACTTTGAAGGAGTGAGTTTCACAAAATATTTTTTTCAATAGTTTTTTGTTATGTATTTTTTGAAAATTTGTTTTAGGAATATTTATGGCCCCTGGGATGAAGCTGTGATAAGTGACTGAAGGACACTTCGGTGAGTATCTCACGACTTCGAAGGAATAAACCTATGATTGTGATACTCCGATGGTGAAAATATCGTTTGTATGAAAGTGTGAAGGAGGGTAGTTCCATAAAGTACTGCATGTACGCTTCGCCGCATTTTGAAAAATGTAAGAAACCGCCTATTTTTACGTGAGGAGCAAAATTTGGGGGCGTCTTTAAGATTCGCATGAAAAGTACAGGATTTCTTCTGACCAATACAATCGTTTACCAAAACAAATTTCGGTGTATTATTTTAAAATATAAATTTGCGACAAGTTTCGATTTTTGGTGCAGAAGAGTTTGGATTATGATATTTAATAGAAATTTTGCAGGAGAGGAAATAGTCGGCTGATTAATTCGGGGATGAGTTGAATCAACGGACTTCCGTGATCTTGAATCATTTGATAAATGTGATCGTGCTTAATTTAGTATGGCATTCAGCTTTTTAACATTTCTTGGTGGCCAAAAGACTGATGGAATATATTTTATACTCCGTTTACAGGGGTATAATGTTCTAACTCCGATAAAATTACAAAATTCCAAGTAAAATAAAGTGAACTGTGCTGAAGTGGGCAAAAGATCTGCTTTTCTTTTCATATCAAACGACTTCCAGCACGCACGCACATTCAATACGTTCATCGGAACACGTAAAAAATAACGTTCTTCTTTTCATCTCGTAACAATTCGAATGTGTGAAATTCCAGAACATTGACATTGCAAAAAAAAAGCATCTTCCCGTCATCGGTTTGCTTTTTCATTCTGTCTGTTGGAGCACCTGTTTTCCGAGGTATAAAAAACTGTTTGCACTTGTTCTCGAATTCGGTTTACGCAAGGAAGATTAATGCGTTGCTTGATGCCAAAACACTTGTGTTTGATTCTTTCAATTATTCCACCGGTTTTGTTTGTTTTTTTGTTCGTCTGGTAGTGAAAGACATTCTTGATTCCTTCTTCGTTTCCCCAACGAATTCTTTTTGAGACGTTGGAATAAGTTCATTTAATGAATTGCTCCTCGAGAACGTATAAGGCCAAATTTACGCGAGATGATTTAAAAAAAATAAAACACTTGCTGGAATGAAGAAAAAAACGAGGAGAAATGCGAGAGATTCTCTGAAAGAAGACGTAAGATTTGTCATTCGATCTTAATTCGTGTTTCCCTATCTGTTATGAGTTGCCCGAATTTCTCGGTCCCCCAATAAAACAAAAATAAGTAAAAAATACTGTATTCGTCATTTAACGCTTGACTATGATATGGTACTGATTTTATAGTTTTCTTTTGCCAGTATTTAATAGACAGTACAGTATTTCAAATTTACATGGCATCTTTTCTTCAACAACTTAGTCATCAATAAGGAATAACGGCTGTTGCCGCTTTTTTTTAAATCTATCATTGCTCGTCTCACGGAAGTTTTTTTTTATTTTTTTTTAATAAAACTAAAGAAGAGTAATGCTTGATAAATGTAAGACTTCATCGCTATTTTCCGATTTTGATATTCTTCGAGGACATTTGAAACCACAGAAAACTTTTAAATCAATGCTGTTAGAACCCAAACGAATGAATGACTCCGCCATTAAATACAGTTTTTTTTTTCCGTCAGAACGTGATCTTCCCCATTTCCTATCTTCGTGGAACATTTAAAAGGAGTGAAAAAAGTTTCGGGTGCACGAAATTGACTTGACAACACGGAATAGGCACCGAATTGCGTCCAGCCTTTTTTTTTTCTTAATTGCGATGTTTGTAAAAGGGGGACATGACGTATATTGAGATACAATAATGGGGTTCATGGAATTTCACAGCTGCTGTTATTGAGCGAGTTGGATTGAAGCTTTTGATTGAAAGTTTACGTTTCCGTAATCCGGGCACTAATTTTTCAGGAGCTGACACACGTTTCTGTTGCACGTTCATCACGCCAGCTTGCCAAAAAGGTTTTGCAAAATGGTGTGCATAATCAATAAGTTTTGTGTTTTTTTTTACATGGCAATCGAATCACAGCGATGATCTCTGAACTCATTTGCTTCGCGTTTCTCAAAAGTCTGGTGCTGGTCTGGAGTGTCATGCACCGCGTTTGCGCACCTGCTGCCAATATATACTGTAAATATACTGTATATAAATATATGCGAGTGGTTACAGAACCTTAATTTCCATTTGAGATGATGAATTTCCCATTTTGAATTTTCAAGAAAGCATTTAGGAAATTGGATCCCTTCTCTTCATACACATAGCTTCTAATCTTTCACGGAGCATATAATAAAAGAAAACGATTCCTTCATAGGGCATATTTAAAGCAGGACACTTCTCAGATTCAAAGCTCCTCAAAATTTTACTCGGGCATTGCACAGGAAGTGCTGGAAGCTGGCTGATTCGTATAACGTTTTTCTGACCGGAAATACGTTTGACTCGGGTCTTCAAATCGAAGTTTTGATGTCGTTTCATTGCGGTTTTTGATGAAAAAGGAACGCAACTATTTTGGCCCAAATACCGAACTGATTAATTTTGAATGATTATCATCGTAAAATTGCTTGGAATTCACTCCCATATAGAAGAGCCTGACAATGGCATTTACAGGATATTTTTTGGGAGATTGGACCGTATTTATGTTTGGTCCGGATACGTATGTAAGCTTTCGTAAAGTGAGCTGGGATGAACATTCATTTAGTAATCGTTCCACGTTTTAGAAAGATGAAATTTCATGGAAAGGATAAAATTATAATTTTGATGAGATTTCAACGATCGCAGTTCATGATTTCGACTACCGCATTTACTTGATTACCACGCCCACCTTTTCCCTCGAACTTGGAAAAAAAGGGGTGTGCATGTCATAGACAAACATACAATTTTAGTTCTGAAAATTCAGGTGAGCATTGTACAACTTGTTTCCGACCGGAAATATTGGACCTAGTTTAGCAGAAAACTTATCTTGATAGAAAGAATTGAAAATTCGATGAATTCAGGTTCAATCATGCCTAAATTAAATTTAGGGTTTTCTTATTTTTTTTAATATTGTGGTTTTTAGTAACTAAAAATGGGGTGCGCGTGTTGGTTGGGATGTGCAATTTTATCAAAAATTTCAACTGTAATGGTGCGTGCTGGTACTCAAAGAAATGCAGTATATATGGAGAATTTTTTTGCTTCTAGATGATATGTTTTGAGACAATTGTTCGTTGAAAAATAATTTGTCTTATGCATAGATGCACTTTTTCGCGGTAGATGACGCTCCAAGACCAGCACCTATACTTTTTTCCTCTTTTCTCCCTGTCAAAAAAAAAGAAACAGGACATTTCCAATAAGATTCTGTATGGCAACCCACCCCCATCACGCGCAGGACCGGGATGATGATGATGACGTGATCGTCAAAAGCCAGCAGCAGCAGGTGCCTCCGTCGCACTGTTGACACTGCCCGCATTGCTGCCCGGGTTCGCAGGAACCATGCGCTTGAACTTGTTGTACAACCAGGCCTTGAAGTTGTTGGGCTCTCCGGCGACGCTGCCGGGTTTGCTGCCGAACGTCTCGTCAATCAGCGCCGGCACGGAAATGGAATGTTCTTCGTACAGCAAGTGGAACGTTTCCGGGTGCGCCTCTGACGGCGGCCGCATCGCCGTGCTCATGAGGAGTCGGTCGTCGGGGAACTGGTCCAGCGACTTGGACGCCTTCCGCAACAGGGGCCTGGCTGCGTTGGGCACGTGCAGCAACACTTGATCGTCTGTGGCGAACCGGGTCTTGAGCCATTGCGTGCTGCCGCCGTTGGCGGGACACCGGGCCAGCTTGGGACTGCGGCGGCGGAGGCTGACTGCGCTGGTGCTGAGCAGTTTGCCCAGGTCTTGCTGCTGCTGCTGATGTTGTTGTGCGGATTGTCTGACTGCGGGTGCTGATGCTCCTCCTGCTGCTGCGGATGAGTTGGGTTGGGAGGGTTGCTCGAGGCCTTCGAGCCAGTAGGTGCGGACGTCGCCTTTGCCCTTGACTGAGATCACGCCGCGGTCCGACACCAGGTAGCCGCCGATGAGCTCGAGGTGCTCTCGGCACTGCTCGCTGATGTGGATGCGGTAGGGTTCGCCGTTGGATTCCATGCGGGACGCCGTGTTGACGGTGTCGCCGAAGAGGCAGTAGCGAGGCATGGTGAGACCCACGACGCCTGCCACGACCGGGCCTGCAATGTATTGAGAAAGGGAAAACGGAATAAGTGATATCTATACGCGTGAAGGGTGACTGATGATGAGCGTGTGAAGCGTCATGTATCTCGTGGCATTGTGCGGCGATACTTTTCTTTTCTTTTTTCTTTCTCCTGAGTGTCAAAAATAACGGACTGAAAAGACTGAATTTTCGAGAAGAATTTTTTATACGTTCCTCATCCTCCAATAAGTTTGAGCAGTGCGGCAGTAACTGACAAGGTGTATGAAAACAGTAATTTTTATTCACCGTTTACAGTACGTGTGAATCGAGATTCGAATTATGAACGGAATTTTCCAAATATTGTATATTAAATTGATATGAGTATTCTTCTGTACTGTACTTTCAATTTCTTTCAAAAGAATGATGTAAACATGCAGCATAAGGCCTCGGTGCTTCGGTGGAATCAATTAATTCTAGTTGCGCTTTCATTATCCAAAGTCTATTCAGTATCAATAAATGTTGAATGTTGCAAGAAATCAAAATGGAATGGTTTAATGGCTTCCTCCAAGAACTTTTTTGAATGTGTAATACCGGAATTACTGTGAAGTTAAGTTGAAGTTTTACTGTGGAAGTATTAGCAGCAGGAGATACTTGCTGCGTGCGTGAGTTTTTGCACAGCTTCTTTGAATCAGAACCATCACATGTGAAATGAGAATGAGGCGAAGAATTGTGTTGCAACATTTTTTTTGCTATTCAGGAGATGAAACTATAGTTCGATAGACCAGTACCTGATGCTCATGTTTCGTATAGATTCAATAAAAAAAGACACTGTCAACATTTTTCATTCAGCTGACACGAAGAAAAAATATAAATGACTCTATCCATCGTAAAACTTTTTATTTCAAAATAAAAATTTGTCAACGAATTTTTCGTTGAAAAGATTTTTTGGGTCCGTATTAAATACATGTACGTTTAGAAGTTTGTTGCAACAAAATTCAATGTGCGGATATTTTAAAACCGGATATTCAACGGCAATCTCTTAACTATATATCCACAACACTTGGTATCAACGGTGAAATGATTGACACAATCGATTTCGTGAAATAATGTGGAAGGAAAGCAAACAACTCAACTGTATACTGAAGAGGACATGAGAATATTGAACGCCTTTATCGAAAAGTTTGCTCTTTTTGGCGCGTTTTCAATTATTCTCATCGAACGATTCTCTGTCTAAACATTCACCCAAGGGGAAAAAAAAATCGGTGTTGAGTCTGTGAAGTGTTTGTTGATGCGGCTACGGCACATCTATTTAACTAGAATCGAACAGCGGCGAATGTTGAGGAAGAATTATCTGCATGATGAGAAAATGATTCGCAACGTGGACGAATGCAGTTTAAAACTCGTTAAAATATCTGGGTTGAATTTCAGTGGCAAAATTCGTTGAAATATTCATTATTTTTAACGAGGACATCTTTCAGTTGATTATGATTTTTTTCTTGTATTGATGTGTCGCCTGATTCTTGAATTCAATAATTGGCATGAAGGATGGGAAATCCATGGTGCGTTTGCCAATTTTCTCTGCCGCGTTATTATTATTACAGTGAGACCCCAAGATGCGGATGTAATTGGTGCATCAAGAGTGTCCCTAAGTCGAGCCACATTTTCCCTTAGACTTACATTATATAATTTTTAATATGTGTTTTATATACAAAATACTCACCATAATTCCATGAAAGTAACAATTGTCTCCCAATTTAAACTGATTCCAATCAATATATTTCAACACAAAATGGGCATTTGGGGAATTGAATACTGATACCTCTGTACAGTACATGGAACTGTTGGCTGTAAAAATAATATTCAAGTGAAAAATAGAGAAGGAAGTCCCTCTCGTCTGCTGGAGGTAATTTTTTAAATTAGGTAAATGGATGATGAATTGGTGAGAGAAATGGCCAAAAACTTTTCTTACATCAATTTTTGGGGTCGGAAATCCTGTTTCTTGTAATTTGGCCTGAAATGCATTTGCAATTTTAGAACAAAATGTCCCTATGTCAAGTCAGTGTCCTCATGTCAAGCCTTTTTTATTAATTTTTCATGAGAAAATAAGTGTCCCTATGTCAAATTGTCTGCAGGTCAAGGTGTCCGCATGTGGGGGTCTCACTGTATTATTATTATTATAGTTGACATATATATGAACTGCTGCGTGAAGAATTACTTTCCAGTGAGAACAAGTACAGTTTATAATGCAAAACATTCCATGTTACAGTACAGTATAGGACGAAAACTTATTCCTGATCCATTTTGTCACACAAAAAAAGATGACTGACCTGTGTGAATACCAATGCGCAACTTGACTGGGGTCGTCGGCATGTGGGGAACACGAAACTGCTTGGCGGCTTCGAGAATTTCCAAAGCCATGGACGCGATTTCCCCGGCGTGCTTGTTGGCATTCCTCAGCGGCAATCCAGATACCTATAGTTGGAGCAGCAGGGAGAAGTATTCACTGATTACTGCCTCGAATGCCCTCCATTAAGAAACCACGGTCGACTTCACACATTACATTATTATGGTACTACCGCGACTCGAGTATAAATTGCTGTTGATGAGCGACGTTCATCAATTAATAAGGTACATGGACAAATATCGACCTGATTCTTTCAACTTCCAAGAAAATCTCTTAATATACTGTCCCGAAAAAACATGAATTCACGCCAAAGAAAACTGACGACAAGAATTTCACTTTGCTGTTCGCTGTTGAGTGAGATCTTCATGTGAACAACCATTATGGAATAAACCCCCCCCCCCCTCTCCGCCATCAATTCACTCGACCGGAGTCCAAAGATTGAATTTACTTGACTCCATATTTAATCGAGCATCATCGGTACAGTTGTGAAACGCAGCTCGATTTTTGCTGAAAACGTGGCAAAAAATAATTTTCTCGTAGAAGACGAAAACTCCTGCTTTCAGTGATTCTTTGTTGTTGTTTTAATTTTCGGAATTATGGTAGGTGAAGATTTTAAATGCAAATAAAATCTAATGCTGTTGATGAATTAATTTTAACTGCGAATTTTTATAGTTAATCTTCGATATATTAGGGATGTTTATATAAATTCTGCAGCATTTTGGAATCTTTTCTTGAAAAATTCATACCAAACGAGGATGAGCGCCTTAATTATTTTATTCCAATTTCTGGAGGAGAATGTATGCATAATAATATACTGTACTCACATGAAAACGTTACTCATACAAAGGTTATTGAATTAAATTCAAGGGCGGGACTTCTCATTAAGACCCGAATACTTTCTGGTTATGGAGAGGAATCGTTTTGATCATTCTTGAGGTTTTCTCAGCCATCATAGAGATTTAAAATATTTCCCGTAAGTTGAAAAAGTGTTTCAATTTCTAAAATGTTCAAAAGTTGTCGGGATGTGCGAATATCATCAAGGACCCGTTAATGCATAAAACACTCATGAATATTGACCTGATTTTATATTGCTGACATCTTCAGCAATATAACACCTCGGATAATTGATCAATATTTGAATACAATCGAGGAGGTCAAGTTTTCCTCTCAATAAATGCAAAAAATTTTTGAAAAACTCTCACTGAAGAAGGCGAGGATAGAATGTTCGACTTTAGTAAGATACTTTGCGCAGTTTTTCGCTGATTGCAACCAAAGAACTCATTGATATTGTTAATAAATATGCAAGAAAACTCACCACCATGTAAGCGTCTCCAATAGTCTCCACCTTGTACACGTCGTAGCCGCGAATTATCCCGTCGAACAAGGTGTAGAGTTCGTTGAGCAAATTGACGACCTGCGGATGAAATCAATTGATTCCTTCGATTACAGTAATTTCAAATGTTACTAAAAGATCGTCAAGTATTCAGCTTGCCTGTAACGGTGTGCTACTGGCACTGAGAGAAGTGAAGCCAACAATGTCGCTGAAATAAATCGTGACGGAGTCGAAGGATTCCGGAGAAACTGCTTCACCTCGCGCCAACCGATGCGCCACGGCTCTGCGAATTGAATCGAAGCACGAACATGTGATTGAGAATCAGTTCTGATTTAATTATTCAAGTATATATATGTACTCATGATAATATATAATGAGTAAAACTTACGGTGGAAGCATTCGGTAGAGCAGAGCCTCTGTCTTTTGCTTTTCCTCCTTGAGCAGCTGCGTTCTCTCGTCCACCAGCTCTTCCAGATTATTGGTGTATCTTTCCATCATGTCCATCGCATGGTCAACTATGTTTGCTTTCCTGTGGTTCCCAAAAGGGAATAAAATATCGATGTTATTATTCATTTACTGTATACACATGAATACTGTACATTCATTATTCCACACATTCTCTTTAAATAGCAGGACGTGGAAGCGAAGATAAAATTATATGACTGCATGATGCGAGTATAGAAAATACTGCGACGGATTCTGATCCAATATAAAATCTACGAAAGTTTCAAAATTTAAAGAGTGGCTATTTTTAGGTTTTTGGGCGAAAAACTCGCCATACCCTCTGAAATCAAAGGAAAGTTTAACTTGAGAATCTCCAAATCAAGCGAAGATTATCAATCGAGACTTCCATATGAAGAATAAACTTCATGTTCTCAAATCCATTCCATGTTATACAACCATCTGCTGCGTGTGGAATGGACGAGTGGATGATTTTCATTCAATAAGTGGGACATCCAAATCAATATGATTAAAAATGCTCGGACAGAGTTCATATAACCATGGATGACAAATAACTGACATTCACGATTTTTAACCTGGAAATTTCCTTTTTCATATATTGCCATAAATTTAGGCGAAGACAATGTTTTCCAGATCAACGCACGACACCCATTAGAAAGACAATTATGACAATAAAATATACTTCTTCAAATTTTCCCTATTTTTCCCATACCCATGATGGAAACGAGCAAATTAATTTTTATTATGGAGAAAAAGCTTTGATCCCGTATTTCTGCTGAATTAACTGCATCTATGTGTTAATCTTTTGGAAAACTTAGGAAATTTGATTATGAGCGTGTTAATTATTCCAGTAAACGACTCATATCTTTGATGGAAATCATCTCTTATTTAAAAAAAAAAACAACACATACATTTTTATGAGACTCCCGATGATGGTGTGCAAACGAATTTTTTCAATTGTTTTTGGGTCCCTGCACAGAATTTTGTTTTTAATAACATATATTTTTTATTGTCTTGATGTTTTTGCACTTCTCTTGGCTCCATTTCATAAGTAAGCTTGTTTCACAAAAGAAAGCGCATATATATATAAGCTGCCAGAAATCATCGGCTGGCCCATTTTGAAGAGACCTCTCGTCGTCATCGTCGACAAACTGTCGTATTATCTCAAGTGGCACTTTGGTCAGGGTCAGCAACCTCGGTTCCCGTCGCTGCTCGATAAACAATATAAGGATAAACGTGCCCACATTTGCCCTCGTTCCGCAGCAGCCCTGTTATTGGCACCCGACCCATACTTATTGTGGGAACTGCTGATGACCAGCAGAAGTTGCCGGTATAAAGACGCTGGGAACTTTTCCTGATTAAATAAGTATGTGTGGGACGTACTTCTTATTATACATATAGTATGTATGAAACATACGAATGCTTGTTCACTCACAGCAAGTTTTTCTTTTCTTTTGCGGAACATATGAGAGGAACTTTTCTAATGAGACAAATGAGACATAACTCGCTATTAATGGAAAAAGTTCCCCCTCACAAATGGAATATTTTTTCTCCACTTCGAAATACAGAGATTACTGTAATTGGACGAAAGAAAACCACACATAAAATCTGCTTTTTTCGGCCAAAAAACAAAGAGAATGAAATAATTTTGCTACACTGTGCACAGTTGATGCAAAAATACCTTTAAAAGAGTAACACATAATTATACAGTACTTCTGATTGCCAAATAGAGTTGATTCGTGATACGATTCATTCTGACTTTTTGTTAGTACTCATCTTAAATAGCTCAATTTCTAGTTCTTACTGAACGCATATGAACCATACAAGTACTGTAATTGTTCAAGGACTGTACTGTACCATATATTTCTTTTTTCATTGTTAAATTTTGGAGGGGATTTTTGATGGGGCAAAAATAAGATATAACATGTTTATGTAAGAAATAGTCCCCGAAAACTTGAATAACTTTTTCTAATCTTCAAAATACAGTAAAGAACTGCGTCTAATTATTTGTTCAAATATTTTTTTTACTGGTGGAATATGAGAATAAATTTTTATGGAACAAACGAGGCATGACTGGCTGATGGAAATTAAGCATCAGCCAAAAATTGAATAAACTTCAAGCTACAGAAAATAACTGTGCAGAGCAAAACCACTTCAAAATCTGCCATTCTGACATGGAAAGGAATCTGAAAAGCAAATAATAAGCACGAGTTTCTTGCTATACTTTGTAAAAAAGAGAAGCACAAAATATCCTTTTGATATGTCAATTCTTGATTGAATTTTTGATAAGATTCATTGTGAAATTTTTTGAAAATAAATATACTGTAGTAGCTAGATTTTTCACAAGATATCCAATTCTGAAGAAAGTAAGTTTCTTTTTCCTTGTAATTTTGGCAGTATCTAATTATCCATACATCCCAAGATATTGTCAGAATGTAGGTCTAGGATTTTTAAAAATTCAAGCGGCCCTAATTGTCGCATTGTCCATGGAACCCACAGTTTATTTCAATTTCTGTCATTCACAAAATTAAAAAAAGCCAGCTGAGTGTGCATAAGCAAAATATTCTGCCATTTATCTATATACCAGTGTTCCCTAACCTTTTCGAGCCCACGGACCAGCAAATTTCTGTAAAAATACAGAAATATTTTGCAGACCGGCAGATTCCCAAAAAATGCCTGCAGAAGACCAGCAAAGTTTCATAAAATTTTTGCAGACTCAACAAAAACTTTGTTTGTTAGATTTCATGGCAGGTAAAGTATTGTATTTCAAAAGTTTCTGATTAAAAATAAATAAATTAAGAACCAATGATGCAGCTATTGTGGAATGTCTTCAAAAATTAGAAAGGTGGGCTTGAAGAGAGGTTTCTCAGGGCAAAAATTTAAATAATCTATTTCAGAAGGTGAAAATTTGTCTGAAGTGTAATTCGGAGAAAAGCCAAATTTTATTTGTTATCAAATTATTTCAACTGCCTTTTTTTCTGGATTTCTAGATCAAGTTAATAAACTTCATTGCTACTTTTGATAAATACGATACAGTGTAGTATTTAGTAAGAAAATGTGCCGCGGACCGGCAAAAAACCTCTGCGGACCACCGCTGGTCCGCGGACCACGGGTTGGGGAAGACTGATCTATACTATGGCGCTCAATTGAGCTGCGCACATTTTTTTTTTCTTTTTGCTCAGTCGGGTGCAGCAAAGGTGTATCAGAGCACACTAACTCGCATCATTCCCGCCATTCAAAATAGGAAGAGAAACTTTTTATCTGATTATATTATCATAGAATAAACTCGAAGTTGCAAAATACGCTGACGAAAAGCGCGTTTGTGCATGGGACCGGAAAATCGTTGGGCACTTGGAATCAATCCACGACTCCTAACTTTTATATAGCCTCATCCTTCGTCCAAAGCTTTCCGCTACATAGGAAAGAAGTTTCTCTTGCTCAGAAAAACTATGCAAAAACTTGTTGACATAATTCCTGTTTTCTTTGTTTCTGGTACCCTTTCAAAAGATTTCAAGGTTTTATAAGAGAAAGGACTGCCCACCATCACGTTAACGTAATCCACACTGCCGGATCTTCCATCAGAAAGCCCGGTTTCAATATTCTAATTCAGCTCAGTGAGAGAACTTTTGTTTTATAAAAATTGCAATCGGGTGTACTGCACAGCTACATACAGTATTTAAGGACATTTGCGAGTTGCGAATGGGACCTATTGTTGATCAATAAATTATATGGCAATACTGTTTTGCTGCTTCTTTCGATTACAGTATACTGATGCAGAGGAGCAAAATCAAATGATCACTGATTATAGAAAACTACAAGTTTGCTTTCTTTACAACAATCCGGTCCAAAATAAATTTTTTTAACAATTTTTTTTTTGCCCAACAATGTTTTCTCCAAATATGTTACAGGGTTACTGTGCTCACTTTTACTCAATGATTGTTTGGTGTGCTTTTAACCTGTTTTCATTTTACCTGTGATGTATGCAAAAATAGATAAGTCTCACTTCAGCACTGAAACAAAACAGACATTTTGCTGTGGTCCTCTCTGCCTGTGTTGGGCGCATAGGTTCTTCAAATTTAACTCTCAGACTGTGGAGGGTTCTTTCCCATAGTGGGACAGAGTCCAATTATTTTTGTATCCTCCGGCATTTTCATATTTTGGAAGGTCAGGAAAACCCTTCCAGGTGGGCTGAGGCAAAGTTGGGATAAATCCAGAAAAAGCCTACCTGTAGCCTAACATTGCTTTTTTTTTTCCCCCCAAAACTTTCCTGTGCCCAGGGAAAAAATCTGGATTTTTCCCAACTTTGCCCTTAACCCTTCTGTGGCAAAGTCAGACTTTTCTTGCAGATTTTGGTTGCACTCAAGAGTGAAATTTAAAAAACCCTAACAGTGTTTTCAGGGCAAAGTTGGGAAAAATCCTGTCATTTTTTAAATTTCCCACAGAAAAATTTCAACTGAAAATGAAAAAAATGAAAACTTCAAGGCTCCCTTTTTTTCCCCTGGCCTTGTGTTGTTTCCCCAGTCAAAGATTAAATTTAAGCTTGAAAGCCAGGAGCCCAGGTTAGAGGTCAATATGGAAAAAGTCCAACTCAGGACTTTCCCAGCATTTCTTTATCCCTGGTTAAGATCCAACTTTTGCCCTCCCCCACCTGGCAGGGGTTGCATAACCTTGTGCAAAAATATAATGCAGGCCCGTTGGGAAAAAGTCCAACTTTGCCCTGGGATGGAAAGGAGGCTGCCGCTGTCCAAGAGTTAACCCCCTTTTGAAATGTTTTTCTTCATCTCTCTCTGAGGTGCAACAAAAATTTGCAAAAATAGTCCAACTTTGCCGCCCAAGGATTAAATTTCTGCTTAGGGGCTGCGTAATCACCCCTTCACATGGGATAAATTTAACCTCTGGATATCTTTTAAGTCAGTCAACTATCATCAGCAACAGTCAAATCTTGCTTGATGTGTGAATAACCAACTCCCAAATCATCTTGATTTATGGAACCAGCAAAAATAAATTTACAAGCAAAAATACTCACATTCCGGATCTCAGGGGCGAGAGTCTGGCTCGGATTTGGCGGAAATCCGGTCGATCGTCGGGACACTCGGCCCAGCAGTCCCGGATGCAGAGCCACAAGTAGTCGTCCATCGCCGAGCCTTCCTTGCCGATCGACGGCGTCGGCTCACGCATATCACCGCCGCCGCCAGAGGTCAGCAGTGCCGACAGGGTTGCCACAGACGGCGGGGAAGTCATGCACGCGCCGGTGTTGTTGTCGCGGGTGTCACCGGAACTCCGATGTCGCTTCCGCCCAGTTGCATTTGCTGGAATTGCAACAGAAAAATATGAAAAAATCCTTTTTTTTTCCTTTTTTTCCAGTTCATCGATGTAGAAAGAATTGTGGGGGAAACGAAATTTAGAGACGATGAAAAGCAGATGATGATGGAGACCAAATTGCATGTATCAGAGAGGTTTTTTTCTAAAATTTTGTTTTGATTGACTGATTGATAAATACACGCTTTATTTGCCGTTTGTTGTCATTCACAAGGTTCAAATTAAGGTTTTGATGCATCCCCCACATCTCTCAAACATCCAGTCAAAAGAAAATATAAAAAATTGATAGATTTTGGCACCATTTTTTTCCAACAAAAATTAAAGCACAAGGTATTTACTTAACACAAAGTTTAAAGCACAAAATATTCAGCCCTGTTCCCAGGTAATTTTTACTGAGTGAACAATTTAGAAAGATATCACTTGATTCTGCATTATCACAATTTTCATGACAGAAATTTACCCCAGTAACCTGTGCCCAAGAGTAAAAAGTGTACCAGGGTTTCTCTGTCAATTTTTTTTTTAGATTTGATCAAATCTGGTGTTTGTATTCTTTGCATGTGTGAATTCACTTCATTGAATTCTTGATTTTCTTCTCTGAAAATATTGAATAAAACTTTAATGAAAAAATACAGGAATAAACTGTATATTAAAGGTGACCCTTTCAAATATTTGTTCTTGGCTTCAAAAGGCCCATGTTTTTATATTCATTTTGTTACCCTTGATCACAATTGGGGTGAATGGATGTGTGTTGGGGGATGTGGGAAATTTTTTGACTTTGTGAATGCTGATGGATTCATTGAATTCTTGATTTTGTTCACTGAAAATATTGAATAAAACATTATTGAAAAACTAGGAACATACAGTATATTCTTGAGGTGACCCTTTTGAATATGTGCTCTTTGCTTCAAAAGGTTAATTGCCTGTGTTTTTGTATTCCTTTTGTGACCCTTGATCACAATTGGGTTAAATGGATGTGTGTTGGGGGATGTGGGAAAGTTTTTTTTTAAACTTTGTGAATGCTTATGGATTCATTGAATTCTTGATTTTGTTCACTAAAACTATTGAATAAAACATTATTGAGAAAAAGGAACACACAGTATATTCCTAAGGTGACCCTTTTGAATATTTGCTCTTGGCTTCAAAAGGTTAATTGCCTGTGTATTTTTATTCCTTTTCTGACTCTTGATCACAGTTGGGTTGAATAATGGATGTGTGTGGGAGGGGGGATGTGGGAGAATTTTGTAAACTTTGTGAATGCTGACAAGCAGCAAAAAACACTTGTGTTGTCATGGGTCCATTGGATCCGAGACAAAGGAATTGAATTGTACAGCCATCAGAATGCAAGTTTCAAATAAGAACTCAAACTCTTTTTCACAGGAGTTCATTCGCATTGCCCAGTTCATCAATTGGCTGTTAATTCAATATAATGGCAGAGTCAATTGTTAAATTGGTTGGTTAGCTCAGAATGTTGATTTAGGTAATTAAAGTTAAAAGGCCCTTTAACACTAGGTTCTGACTTCTTGACTTCTCCTCTCAAAGAGGAATGAAGGTNGAAGAGGAATGAGGGTTTTTATACCCAGGTGCTTGGACTGGGTCAGGAAGAAATCAGGTGATTTCTTCCTGGCTCAGGATTGGCCAATTCAGGCAAAATCAAAGAATTGAAAACCACTTCTTGTCCTTGAGTGAGGCTCAGTGAGTCTCGCAAAAAGGGGATTTTTGCAAGGCTCGCAGGCCTTGGAAATCCTACAAGTTTTGGGGTCCGGTTCTAGCCGGATGCTGGAGCTGCGTTGCTTTGGTCCGCGACATGTGTGTCAATCAATCATTAACCAATCAATCAATGCAACTCATCCTGAACTCCAGAAATTAGATTTAAAAAAAAAGGTGTCAATAAGAGCCACTAGCAGAACCCCCACCAACCTGCTGCAGCCACCACGGCTGCTGCTGCTGCTGGAGGCACTTGCGTAGGAGGCAATTGTTGCTGCTGCTGCTGGTTATTGTGCTGCTCCTCCAGCAGCAGTGGCTGAGACGCAGTCAACTCGGACATCTGCAACCAGTCCGGGTCGGCTTTGTTGAGCTGCTGCTGGTAAAGTTTGGAGCTGGACGCGGCCCGGGTTGTCATGTTCGGGAACAGAGACGGGTTCGTCATCAGCTGTCCGTTCGCACTGAATCCCGGAAGTGCTTTCAGGTCCGGCCGGAAGGGCTGGCCCAGGTTCCCGTCCGCGTCCCTCGAAGGACCCTCTCGCACCCGTTCCACTATTTCTGTATAATGTCATACCGTGCGTATTAATGTACAGTATATACAGTCAGGGTCCATAATTTCGACATTTCGCAGATTTTACGAGTGGAATGAAGGAAAACCATCGCGCATTCCGGAAGATAATTCAAACATTAATCAACGAAAAACTATTATATCCCGACAAAGATCTGCAAGTTCTTATTGGAAGGTGACTCCGGAAAAAAATTTAAAAATTTTAGAAAATATTTACAATTCGGTATCTCCTTATAACCGGAAGAGTTCATACAAAGCCTTCAATTAAATAACTTGAAAAACATGAAAGTCGATTTAATTATTTTTGCGATTATGATAATTTTTTGGACTCCGAGGGAATTGACCTTGCTTTCGTTTTGGCTGTCTGTCTCAAATATCTTCCTCAGCAAAGGGATGCGTTTTCTGCAAAATTTTCCGCGTGAAAAATTATGCATCTTCATATGCAATCATGGATAATGTGTACATTTCTTTTGAAAGTACATGTAATTTTTGTGTCCTTTTTGGACACGTCACCTCACATGTTTTTTTGTGTTAAAAAATGATGCACCAAGTTTTGTGTAAACTTAAGGTTCCTCTACAACGTGTTCCACTTCACGTTTTTATACTGGAGCACTTAGCACCACTTTTAACAAATCCAAATTCACGTCCCACGCACATGTTTTTTACATATTTTGTTATGCAAATTGGTTTTCCTGGGCAAGTACAGTATGTGATTTAAAATATTTAATCCGTTAACAAAGATAATATTCATAAAAAATCTAGAAAAAACTGTCTATTGTTATTGTAGCAAGTTTTTGGAGTAAAATTGTAATTTTAAAATTAATTCATATACAATTTAAGTAATCCCGACAACTTTGGGCTCTCCATTATTCGAAATTCCTAAAATTCAAAAAGTATTCATAATTCAAAAGGAAAACTCTGCCCTTCTTCCTTCTTTTGTTTTTGTTCCGAACAAACTGGAAGTTTTCACTGAATAATGGCTAAAATTAAAGCATTTCTTGGCTAAAAATGTTTGGTTCTCCGAAACAATTTTGTTGTGCGAGTCACTTCTTTCTCGACTAAGAAATATTGCCGTGTAACTGTGTTTTTCTTGTATAGTGGTCTTTTTTCAAGCAGAGATCCACCAAAGAGAATTTTCCAAAATTTACAACCCACCCAGCAGTGGAAGGAATTAAGTGTGATGGGTCTAACAACAAGTTCTCAGAATATAAATTTGAGACGGCATACAATTGAGTTGCAAAAAAATTATAGTTCAGAAAAACAATCCCTTGGCACAAAAAAAAATATTTAGCCCAGCAGTCTGACGTATTTTGCAGAAAACTCTTGCAAAAGTTAACTTCGCAGCTTTCTACTCCTCACTCAAGAGATGAGGCGCCCATCTCGCAATTTTTTATTATTTTTTTTGCAGTCCTGCTTCTCCTTCAGAATTACTGAAATTGACATGAGGTTGATTCCAAGAATTGCCTCCAAGGTTATTCTGCAGTTTTCGTCAACAGCCGCCACTTGGGATGAAAATAATGTGGCGGCTATTAACGAAAATTTCAGAATAACCTTGTATGAAAATGGCGGAATTTTTCCGGGAGACCTGGAGGAAACCCTTTTTGGAATTCACGTCATGTCAATTTCAAGAATCCTCAATGATAAGCTGAACCACATCACGGAAAAATTTGCGAACTGGACACCTCATGATTTGAGTATATACTCGTATACAGAGCAGAAAGCTGCCATCAGCAGACGAGAGACTTTTGCAAAAACAAAAACAAAAAATTGCAGAAACATATTTTCAAGCAGGTCCGAATTTCTTCCTTTAGCCAAAGGATGTTTTTTTCTTTTCTTTTTGAACAACAATTGTTTCATTTTCCTGCTCGGGATATAAATATCACTCGAATTCCCATATCAGGAACTTTCGTTTTACCCCTCGCATAGAAAATGACCAAAGAGGGACAAAAAGGAACTCGCCTCTTGGCGGCAATTCGCACGTGCCATAAGGCCCCTTCCGTCCGAACATCTCGTACAGGATTATGCCAAAGCTGTAAACGTCAGCCTTTTGCGTGCCAAACGGTGCTCCGTCTCGCAGCAATTCCGGAGCTGTCCACAGCAGATCTGATGGTGGAGAAAAAAACAAACAAACACAATGCATTCCAAAAAGAAAAATGTGGAGAAAAAACCCTTGTGTACTGCAAGCATACAATGTTAGAACTGGAAAAGATTTTGAATCACCATTGATACAAAGAATACAGTAATCATAGCTGGGCTAAAGCCAGGGTTCTTGACACCCTAGTGTAAGGTTGGTATACAGTGAGACCCCAAGATGCGGACATAATTGGTGCATCAAGAGTGTACCTAAGTTAAATTGTCCCTACGCCAAGTCTTGTTTTCCCATAGACTTACATCATATCATTTTAATTGGTGTTTTATGGGAGAAATATTCTTCAGAATACCCTGAAAAATCTTTTTTGCCACTTGAATTTGATTGAGTGAATACATTTTCAACTCAATAAGAACATTTGGAGCATTGACTAGTGTATATCAGTACTGTACATTGAAATTTTGGCATCTACAAAAATAACCTTCAAGTGAAAAAAGCAGAAGCCCATCATGCTGGAGGTAATTTTTTTAAATTAGCTAAATGGACGGTAAATTGGTGAGAGAAATGCCCAAGAACTTTCCTTACTTCAATTTTAGGGTTGGAAATACCTGTTTCTTGTAATTTGGCCTGAAATGTATTTGCAATTTTATAACAAAATGTCCCTATGTCGAGTCAGTGTCCTCATGTTGGGCCTTTTTTTATTAATTCTTCTGGGAAAATAAGTGTCCCTATGCCAAATTGTCTGCAGGTCTTGAGAATGATACAAATATTTCAAATGCTTGATTGCAACAAGAGTTTTGCCGTCTTTTGCGTGAGACTGCCAAAAAGCAACTGATGAAAAAACAAATTTATTCATCATTTAAAGACCTTTCCTGGCAAAATTTTGTCCCTGAGCACTGAATTATTGCAGGAAATTCCAAGGATCCAGGAAAACCCTCCTGGGAACTCAAGGTCAAACTTGCTCTCATGAAATTCCTGGCAGATTAAGACTTCTCTCAAGCGTCTACTGATTCATCTTTTTTGAATTTGTACCTTTCCATTTAGTCATTATCTCATTTACGTTTTTTTTTTAATTCCCAACATGAAGGTGTCCTGATGAGAGACAGGCAAGAAAGAATGAGCCTGCAAATCGCCAGACGTTTGTTCAGCTGCTATATATTTTATCCATCAGGAGTTCTCCACCTACATCGTGCCAAAAGGCGGGGGAGTGTGAATACAGTATATATGCGAGTAATATTTGCCTTTCATCGCAAAAATCCTTCTAATGAAACTATATTTAAAATTCAAGGATATCTGTGTGGGGAAGTGTTTCCAGACTTTTTCGCAGCTATGGCAGAATTTTCGAATTTGTAAGTAGGATTTTTTTTAAGGATCACTGAAAATGTTCTAAACACCCTCAACATTTCTTTAAATCACTTTCAGCATAATCTAGACACAATGGAATTTTTAAAAAAGGTCATGATGAGTCACCTGGAATTTCGAAAATATTTGCAATGAAGTATTGTACAAATAAACCCCTTCAGTGACTTTTTCTTCATACATAACAGCAAAAAATATACCAGTTTTTCAGCTGCAAAAAGTGTGAAAACAAATAAATTCGCAATATTTTTTAGGCAATTTCATAGATTTTAAAACATGAGATATCAAAACATTTATGAGTTTTTTAAAAATGTCAATTGAATTTGTTCATGCCTAAAGGGTAGATTCTGTGATGTGGTTTATTTTACACAGTTATTTTCTTGCACCCGCGAAAGTTGTGAAAAGTGTTTAAAACATTTTTGGAGTGCTTTTTTCCAATTTTTTTTTCCAAGCATGAGGAGCGAGTGAAAATGTTTTCTTATGAGTTTACAGTATTTTAGAAAATTCGACACAGTCTAAGAAGTAATTGTTTTCTCATCTAAACTGGAGTTCCACATTATACCGAATGTACATTTTTGACAAATTTTTGAATTTGTCAAATGGCTAGAAAAGGTTACTCGGTTACGTGAGCTCAGTTATATTGACTCCATGTTCGTTTCCACTCGTCCTGCTGCGTGTAAATCAGTAACATTTCCTCGTTCGTGCAGATATTTATACTGTCACGAAAAATAGTGACTTACATATATTCCAAAGAATCAGCAAAACGAAAAACCAAAACTCACTGCGATATCTCGCATAATCGTCGCTGATGTTCCAATTGGCAGCTAGTCGATGCGGAACGTCAGGTATCAGCCAATCGACTTCTTGGGTGGCTGAGCGCTAGTGCGTTAACCAACTGAAGTTCAAGGGCACGTAAAAGTCCCCCCTGAGCACCTACATGTAGTACGGGAAATAAGCTTTTACGTGGTAGGCAATAACAGAGAAGGTGAATGAGAAGAAGACACATTTGAACACCATTTTATGAGTATCAAATAGCAGTGATCTTCTACACGTAGTCCGCGGGAAATTTTCATAATGTATTACCGAAAGTAGCGATGAGGTCTGTTATTTTTCTGACATGCCAGATAGACCATTGAAATGGAAATTATGTGATGAAAAATAAACGTTGGGTTTCCTCCTAATACGTAACACTTTTTTTTTCATTCTGAGACACCTTATTTCAAGATCACCTTTTTAATTTTTTGAAGACAAGCCACTATATTGCTCTTTTCATTGGTTCATAGTTTTAAAAAAAACATCAACTTTTTAAATGCCTGTCATAAAGTCTTGCAAGTTTCAAGCAAAACATTTGAGTCTGCAAAAATGTTATGAACCTTTGTTGGTCCGCATAAAATGTTTGGGAAATTTGCCAGTCTGCAAAAACTTTTATGGAAATTTGCTGGCCTGCAGGCCCAAAAATATTGGGGAACATTGCAAAACAAATGAGAACAGTAAATATAAAATTATTGGTTGTATTATGAGATGCGCCTTGTGTTTCTTAATTTTGAGTGTCCTACATGATTAATAACCAATTATTCTGATGATGTAACAATGTATTTTTCAAAATCAAAAGATCATTTTCATTTGGATCATGCCTCAACTTGGTCATCAGAAACAACAGAAATAAGTACCACGTGTCTTCAAAATGTATTTCTAGATCCTAGATTAATTTTTTTTTTATTTCCATCATTTCCAAAGTATAATCACTGAAAGATTGATTCTGCCTGTCAATCGAAAACAAACTTATAGTTGAGTTGAAAAATTGTCTCAATCAGTCCAGGTGAATAAGTAAGTTAGTTCACAATAACGTTAACTAAAGTTAATCTAGAAACGTTTTATGTTTCTAAAGTTCAACAGAGAGTTCATAAATATAAAATTATGAGATGACAACATAGAATAGTTCTTAAATCCAAACTTAACTTTATTTGATGAGGAGATTTCTTATCGGTAGCTAGATTTAGGCCAAGTGAATACTCCTCAACAAGTTTCTTATAAAAGTGTCCTATCTGATTAATGACCAACAAGCAATGATCACATGTATAGAAAAAGGTGGATAGCTTCATAGACTTTGCAGTCTCAGATTGGGCAAGACACTGGTCAGACCCAGATGTGACTTTGTTTCAAGGACTATTGCTTAACTTGGCAAGGAACTTGACTTGGCACAGCAAGTCATCGAGGAAAAGAATGCAGGGAAACACACAACTGCTTCAGGCAGTGTGTGCTGGCAAGAAGGAATGACAGGATTTTTGATAACAAAGGATGAACATGGAACTTTGAACCAATTGAACATAAAACTCATGGTATATTTATGCATTTTGATTAAAGATATGCATCTTTATTTACTGGACACTAAGCTAACAGTGAACAAACATTAAATGTGATCTCTCAGCCAAAATATGAATACAAGTAACACAACCTTAGCTGTCATTGACAATTTGTATTATACAGTAATACTGTAATTAAATCATTATGGGTGTGCCTATGCAAATCATGTAATTGTTATCTGAGAATTTCTTGCCCTTCCTGCAAGGACTATTTTCAAATCCAAAAATAGATTCTCCCATCTCCCATTTTTCAGAAAGGCCTTATTTTGAAATAAGGCCATGGGATGATTTTTCCTTTGTTTAAATTACAATGAAATCCATGCATGTTTTTGGATTACAATAGGACAATTGGGGCAATAAAATATTGCCTTGTTCTGCCTTGTTCAATTCTCACAATGACAAGGCCTAGAGTTTATATTTCATATAAACTCTAGGCTGATCACCAGCAAGACCAGAATTCTCTGAAACTGCAGTTGGCGTCTTCTGGAGAAACTTCTACTTGCAAATTTTCGGAAGTCTCTCTAGTGTGTCTGAGTGTTATTTTATAGTATACCAAAGATTGGAAATATTGTATTGTGTTGTTTACAAAAGAATATATATTTTATTCTATATATTTTATAACCAACTGTTTTCTTTTTATTTCAAAGTCCATAAGGACAACATAATACAATGGAATCTTTATCTGTTTGATGAAGAGGAAAAAAAGTCTCCAATCACTCGAGCAATCTCTTTAGAATATTGAAAGTCAATTTGAGGACTGCCACAAGATAAACAGGAGCATCGGCATTCACAGAATATATTCAACTCACTAATAAATGTACCTCACTAAATAATTGTTCATCAAATTGTAATGCCTGTAGCTCATCTTTAGTCGCCAGTATGTTGTACAGTACAAATAATACAGTACTGTACTGATTTACTATCCAATGCTGTAGAAGTTCATTGTACTAGCATTCCACAAACATTTCACGCCTAAATGCAAAAAAAAACATTCATTAGAATATTCTGAATAAGGGTACGTAGTGTGAGTCAACCTCAAAATTTTCTGGGGCTTCCATTCTAACGGGGAACTCGTCCAGTATTTAATAGTAAAACAAATTGCCGAAGGTCTAGACTTGACTAAATTTATAGCTGTCGATGTCGTTGAGATATTTCGAGGAAACTTTTTTGTCGGCGATTCCTCGGTACAGCAGTCAAAAACCAAATCATGCCTCGCGTCACAGTATCTATAATCTCTCCGCTTTTTATGAGACAAATAAATCCAAAAAATAAAGCCATTTGAATAACGAGACTGAGAAAAGTTTGTCGAAGCAGAGATTTCAATGGTAAATTTCATTCCTATGCTAACGACGCTTGCAAATTTTCACATGGAAATCGGACATTTTTGACACCACTGCAAATTTTCCGCTTTCCTTCATCATCCTGTCAAAATTCGCTCCAAATTTCCCAACTCAAACGTGCCTCTTATTAAGAATGATGACATTTGTAGTCATTTATCACAGCAGCGCATGTTCAGAAAAATATGTGTTTTTCTCGTAAAAAAAAATGCATACTGTATTTCCTTTCGATACAATGAAATGAAAGTGGAAATTGCAAAACGTAACTGACCTTAATGAGATCATGGATGAGAGAGGCGAGGAAGACGTTGTCGAGCCGGATGTCGTCGTTCTCCAGCACGTCCTGGTAAAACAAAAATAAATCAATCAATGAAAATGAACCCGAATCAAAAAGGTCGCTGACATCAAGATAAAAGTCACGTACGCGCTGGACTCGAATCAATCCAGAAGCAATGCTGTTGTGACGTAAATCACCAATTATTTCAGTACTATGAACTCAAGTTTTCGGTTTAATCGGACGTGGTTTCACCGTGAGATATACAATCCCGGGAAATGCTGATCATATTTTTACGACCTGGTTTTTTTTTTCCCACAGAACAGTTTTATAGTCGATACCGTATTCGACGATGCCCTTGTTTTAAACAAATTTATGAAACTCACTGCAGAATTTTTGTTATATATTAAGTCACTGACAAAAATGCAAGTTGTATGACCACTGAAGAAAGCAGTTTTTCTTCTTTCTTTTTTCCTCAATCAAGGGTGTACAGAATGATGCTCTGGTTGGTACTCTGACGGGAACCTCGTCATGAGGTACTGGTTTTGCTGCGCCGTGGGCAGCTCTGACCGGGGCTACTTGCCCAAGTGCAACAGCACGGAGTCCAGGAAGTACCGGAAGTTGAGGTTCTTGACGAGTCTGGAGTTGAAGCCCGAGGACGCCGCCATGCTGTCCATGGGCTGCAAGAGGCGCCACTGGCCGCCAGTCGGGCTGCGGCACCTGTGCGCGAAGAACCTGTGCGGCGGCGGTGACGGCGGCAAGAACAACATGTGGCTCCTCGGCTTGCCGCTACTCCGACTCGGCCTTACTGGCGGCGGTGGCGGCGGCGGCGGGCCACTGCTGGCCAGCCGGGAATCGGACACCAGGTTGATTTCCTTGATGCAGACCAGGCTGCCGCGGAAGTGGCCCACTGCGGCGAACACCTGGCCCAGGCTGCGGTTTTCCTCCATCATGGTGCGAAGGCTCAGCTGTTTCAGAAAGGACGACACAAATATAATGTAAAATCGTGCTCGTATTGTTTGGGACTGCGGCACACACTACTTGAGCATTATATGAATAATAAACTACATTACTTGCATCCCAAGAATGGTGCTTTGGTCCTATATAGAGCCTCACATACAAGAACTTGCCTCCAAAATCCTTGGAAACTTGTACAGCAATGGGCATCATTGTCTTTGATTTTCCTCTTCTTATCCAAGCAACAAAAAAGAATGAAGTTTACTTACCCAAAAACAAGTCCTCTTTTTCCTCACCAAAGAAATCCATAAAACCTTTGAAAACTGGTACAGAATATCTCATTCCCATTCTTAGCTACCACAGCTGAACATTCAGCCAATTCTCTTAGAAATTGTGTGAATTATTCTTTGTGTGAATTATTCTTACAGTGAGACCCCAAGATGCAGACATAATTGGTGCATTTAGAGTGTGCCTAAGTGAAAATGTCTCTAAATTGAGTCTCATTTTTCATTAAACTTACAATATATGGTTTTTAATTGGTGTTTTTTGGACAAAATACTCACCATAATTCCATGAAGATAAAAATTGTCTCCCAATTGAAACTAATTCAGTCAATATATTTCAACACAATATGGGCATTTGGGGGATGGAATACTGATACCTCTGTACAGTACATAGAAATGTTGGCATTCTCTGTAAAAATAACATTCAAGTGAAAAAGAGAGAAGTAAATCCCTCTATACTGGAGGTAATTTTTTAATTAGCTAAATGGATGGTAATCCCCCGAAAACGTATCGATCCCGCAAAATCCAAAGCCCTATATATAGCATCAGTAGGAAACCCCCCGAGAAAAGGTCCGGGGTTCCTCTTTTTCTTTTCAAATATTTTCGGGTTCCGCCTGATTCATCAAGTGAAAAAGAGAGAAGTAAATCCCTCTATACTGGAGGTAATTTTTTAATTAGCTAAATGGATGGTAAATTGGTGAGAGAAATGCACAAGAACTTTTCTTACATCAATTTTTGGGTTGGAAATATCAGTTTCTTGTAATTTGGCTGGATATGCAGTTGCAATTTTATCACAAAATGTCCCTATGTCAATTCAGTGTCCTCATGTCAGGCCTTTTTTATTAATTTGTTATGGCAAAATAAGTGTCCATGTGCCAAATTGTCTGCATGTTGTGCATATAGGGTCTCACTGTATTTATCTCAAAGAAGATGCCAAGTTGTGGATTCTTTTGGGCCATTATAAACTATTCATTTTTTGGGAGTCTCTATATATTAAAGAGTACTGGCTGGGATATTCTCTATATTAAAGAAGCTCTCAGCCAGTCCCAGGGTGTTAGTGGTGTTTTACTCTGAAATCTCTTTGTTTGGGGAGATCCCCAACACATATTAGCTGTCATCTAAATATACAGTAGTGGCTCATCATATTATTCCTCATGTTCCCCTTGATCAATACATACATGTTGCAGAAGTGAAATTTGAGGGGTGGTTCATACGTTCTGATAATCTTGGAAATAGATCCAACTGCGTTCCAACCTTCCCAATTTGTTTCACCCACACAGCCTCATCATTTGGCAACACTTCAGTACTGTTTAACATATTCTCTTCCAATTTCAACACAGTTTTTTCATGTGATAAATCTATTGATCAAAACAGTGCCAAAAATCAAGTTCTGTTAGTTGATTAGGCACCCTGTGACTTCTGGCTGTTCCTGAATTAAAATGAAGAACAACTTGAATGGGATTGATTTTGTGGACAGTGACAGCTTCATTTCTGCCATTGAAGAGCATTTTAATTAATCAGCCTCCTCAATTTTCTCACTGTTTTAATCGTTGAATTTATTGCATGAAAAAAATGCATCAACATTGGCAAGGAGTATATATTGAACAGCACTGAAGTGATGCCAAATGGAAAATGTAATAAACCCTGAGCAGTTGAAATATCACATCCTTGGTGAAGGAACCTAGTCCAAGGAGTAAAACTGAGCACCAATAATAGAAAAGAGACCTTGAAATTAGTAAAATGCTTTGCTGCTGTATTATAGCTTTTTAATTGGAGCTGGGTAGTAAAATTTTCAACATCAATGTTTTCTTTTCAGAAAAGTATATCAATGAGTCAGCAAGTTGTGACTTGAAAAGATTATTTGGTGTTTTATTACTGTGGTGTATTTAATGAAGTACAGTACTGTTTTATTCTTGCCCTCTAGTAAAACATTTTATACCTTCATTTATTTCTTCGGTAAAATTTGCCCAAAGTTAAATTTCCTGATGCTTGAAATGCGCCTTCCAGGTTTCTCTGTCCAAAATTGTGATTTTTTTTTCTGGTGAATAATGATTTTCGCTCGGCTGATAATTGCTCTGAGTCGGTGTTTTCAGATACAGTACAGTATAAGAAAACTTGGGCAAGAAAATGTTTTTTGGTTGTTTCTCGCTGTGTGTCCCTCACAGTGATTTTTTCATGACTCGCATCCATGATTTTTCTTTGTGAAGAACTTTTTATGGTACTTGTGTACCATCTGCGACGTACAGCAGAACTCTCTTCTGCCTCTTTATTTTGTAAAAAAGGCGAGAGATTACTGTTTAGTGCTTGGGTATAAAGAGAGGATTTCAATATTTTGAAAAGTACTTGTTCTATTTTTATAAGCCATGTCAACACAAATTTCAAACACATTTTTATTTCTTCAAGTTTCGGTACTTTTTGACCGACGAACCTCGTCTTAAAAGCAGGGAACTAAAGTCAACAAAGTTTCCTCCCCCAAAAATCCCTCTGTTGCTGGTAATGAGAAATGTTCAAGGTCACAGATGAATGAAAATAACATCAACATAATCCATTGAAATGAATCAAGAAATGGAACTGAA